CTTGTGTCCTTGTTGGAAAGATTCTATGGAGTGGAGCATCAAAACGGTGGTTGTTGTCTGGGAGCCTGGGATAGATTTAGAGAGTAATGAAAAGGCAGACGAGGCGGTCCCAACCTCTGAAATTAACCACTGCGATCCGGCCCTCTGATGCCAAAAATGCATTAAAAAACTTCATTAAAAGAAAGCAGCAGCATCAGTGGGCGGAATTGGCAGAGGCGGCCCTCAGAAGATCTGACTCGCAGAAGAAGGGTCAGCCTCACCCGATTAAGGATAGGCCATGCGTCATTGACAGCCGGACTCTATTTTGGACCTTTTTTGTGTCTGACATATAGAGAAGGTTGATTGATAGAAGGGTGAAATTCTTTGACTCTATATAGAGAACTTGTAGAAATGCCACCCAATATGAGAATTGTGCTAAAGTCCGGCAATGAGTATGTGGGTCCCCTGTACAGATTTTTAGAGGAAACAGAGCTGTTTTACTGTACATAATACTTTATAGATATCCTGTCTTGTGTTTATTGATTGTGGCTGAATGTATTTATTGGCATGAATGATTAGTGTGAGTGGGCTGATGGCAGAGAGTACCCCTCAATTAGATTGAATAAACGTAGATGATGGAGGAATATGAAGCCAGCACCTTAACTGAGTGAATGTGCATGGGTTTGGATTTGGAGAGTGATAAGGGCTGTTGAGCTGTTGATAGCACCTGGAGCCCAATCTCTAACTGGTCAGATAAGACCGAGGTCTAACCCTGGACTGCCAATTCCCAAGGTGGGTGATTCTTGACGTTTGCCTGTAATTTATTGTGAATTATACAAAAGATGGAATTGCCAACAAGTTGTGTGAAGTGAAAGGCTAAACTATGTACAAGTGCATGTGGAGATCTGAGCTTATATAAATCAACAATCATTAATTTATAAATGGTGACAAAATAAAATAGATAAGTAATGGATTCCGAGTACTTTGAATCCTGAACTCAATTTTACAGACTTCTTGAGACACCTTACTTGCATTTGTTAAACCTCTCAACACAAAATTATAATGTTAAAAATACTACTCATACTAAACATCATCTGATAAAATTATTTATTTATACACAAATTTTATTGATTAAAAAATTTGTTGTATTATCGATCATGTTAAACTGATAGAACCAAACTGATAGGTCAGTTTGATATATAAAAATAACTTCTAAGGGACATGATTGATTACAATTCAGGTTTATTTCAAATTACATAAATTATTTACTTAAAGGGCAGCAAAAAACTGTCACTAAGGAAATCAATGATTTGTACGAGTCAATATAAATTCAGATAAGTAATTCGAGTATTAAGTAAATAATTAATGGACAAAAGTAATTTTTAATTAAATCATTTACAAATACCTTGATTTCTAAGTGTAGTTATAAAAAGGTTTTTTCTATGCATTTTTATTTCCGTATTTACGTATGATTTACAACACGTTATCAACTCATTGTTAAAATGTATTGTAATACTTTTGAACAAAAGATAATATAAAATCAATAACAGTATTTTGTAGTAGATGTTGAAAATAAAATAATTTCTGTCGTACAGGAAGTACTAACATCAACGACTCAATTTGGGCGTAATGAAGATGAGGTCTGACCAATTTACTATACTTTTTATCTATTCAAACTCATAAATGACATAACATTAGAACCCGACCATTCTAAATTGAAATTGTGTACAATAAAATGATCCAAATACGAGGCCATCACACAACAAATTTCAACAAGAAATCGTACAAGGTTGGTTCTTTAGAGCACACAAATTAACAAATCTTTATAAAATTTTGTCCAATATGTATGATCCAAGTGACAGATCAAAGAAGCAAGGATATGCAATACCAAGATAATCAGTAAAGATCAAATAAATAAAGTAATTCCTGTCATGCCAGAAATACAACATATTAAAAGCAGAAGAATTCAAAATTACACGGGCAATGCCAAGATTCAAACTAGACATTTGAACTCTTGGTAAAATGATCAAACTTCAAGTTATTCCCAGCATAATTCAACAAGAAATCTTCTGTTATTGAAGGATTGGTTCTTTGGAGCACAAAACGGATGTTTTTTAATTCATTCAGAAGTCTTTATAATATTTCAAGTAATATGATCCATGAAACTATTATGAGCGAAGTTGATTTTTTAATGTATTTAACAATATATCTGTGTTTGTTCATGTTTGATATATTCCATAAGTAATACATGATAATGTAAAACATGAAAAAGTCCTAAGTTTTGAGTGTAACTGCAAAGTTTATTTTTATGAGGGTGTACCAGTCTCGACTCAAGACTTTTCTTATAGGTGTTATCCAATATATTTGCAGTACACTGAATATATTGGTTATTATAATAATGTAATTATAAATTGTTATAGCATATATTATGATTGTTAAATCTGTATTCACAAAATGGAAGAGATATGTCATGGTTATGTTATATGTCTCCCTACCGACTCGACCTGTCACCTAAAACCGCCAAACCACTAGTTTTTAATTACTGAGTGTGTTTGTAAATAAATTTGTGTTTCCTTGTTTTAACATGTTAGAAGTAAAAATCAGAATTCCCAATGTTTTGAGTACAACCTCTAGGTTGTTTGATGAGTGTGTATTTTGATTACTAAATGCTTTTTTTTATGAGTGTATATCCGCATTGTTAAAACTGTCAATTTATAAATTATAATTGTTAAAAATTATATTCACAAAATGGAAGAGACCAATTATGTTTATGTCATATGATACCATAAGTACCAACGCAGGGACATAAAACAGTCCATCCGCCAGTTTTTAATTACTGAACTTGGTTGTAAATTAATTTTAAAAAACTGTTCACAAAACGAAAGAGATGTTGACCTCTAGGTTTTTAGATGAGTGTGTACCCACTTTGTGTCTTTTTCGTACAGGATTTATCATATAAATTTGTTATAAACTGTCAAATTGTAAATTATAATTGTTAAAAACTGTATTCAGAAAATGGAATTAAATGCTTATGTTCCATGACATCATAACGACTCAACCGACAGTCTCCTAAAACGATCAAATCCATAAGTTATTTCGAGAGATGTGGTCTGGTTTAGAAAAACATTTTCTTCGTTGTGAAAACGTTTCGATCTTTATTGAGATCATCTTCAGGGCCTAGGATTTATAAACAGTGTTTAAATTATACAAATACATGTAGAATGTGAAAAAATGAATTTATACAATGATAGAAATATGATATGAATAGATAACGATAACTAAACACCACACAAATCCATAGGCTTTACTTTTTATTTTTTTTAATTGTATCTTTTTGTGTTAACATTTTTTGACACGTTACTCATTTAAAAATCTTGAACACTCAATGTTTTGAGTATGACCTCCAGGTTTTTAGATGAGTGTTTACCCGCATTGTTTCTTTTTTGTACAGGATTTATTAAATAAATTGTTATAAACTGTCAATTTATAAATTACAATTGTTAAAAACTATAATCACATAATAGGAGAGACCAATTGTTTATGTCATATGACACCATAACGATTTGACCAATGAGTCACCTAAATCAATCAAACCACCAGTTTTTAATTACTTAATTGTTTGTAAATAAATGTGTGTTTCTTTGTTTTCACTTTCATTGACACATTAGAACTAAAAATCATAATTCCCTGTTTTGAGTATGACCTCTGTGTTTATTTAATGAGTGTATATTTTGATTGTTGAAAGTTATTTTAAATTGTGTTCACATTTTTTTATTGTTCATCATTTAAAAACCTGAATGTTTTGAGTATGACCCCCAGGTTTTTAGAAGAGTGTGTACTCGCCTTGTTTCTTTTTTGTACAGGATTTATCGAATAAATCCTTTATAAACAATCCATTTTTAAATTATAATTGTTAGAAACTGTAATTACATAATGGGAGAGACCAATTATGTTTATGTCATATGAGACCATAACACTTGACCAATCAAACAAATCAATCAAACCACTAGTTTTTAAGTTTTTTTTTGTTTTCAAATTTTTTGACGTTATAAGTAAAAATTAAAACTCCCAATGTTTTGAGTATGACTATGTTATACGACACCATAACAACTCGACCGATGCATCTGAAACGACCAAACCCGTACTTTTTAATGTTGAATGTTTGTTTTTTCGTTTTAATTGTCTTTGTTTTCACATTGAAATGTTAGATGTAAAAATCAGAATTTCCAATGTTTGGAGTATGGCTGCTAAATTTTTTTGAAGAGTGTTTCATCATTCTTGTTTCTGTTTAATGCAAGTGTTACCAATAAATTTGCTGTATGCTAAATAAATTTGTCATTAAATTGTAATTTATATTCAAAATTGTTTAAAAACTGTAATCAAAAAGTTAAAGAACCATGTCAAACATTTGAGAAATGTCAGTCAGTTCTTGATTGTTATGGTCCATGATCGTTTTGTTTTTGTTTTTTATTTTTTAAACTAAAGATTAAAACGTAATTTCTTTAAACTATTATGAATCAATTGCGGTTAATTAAAGAGTTGCGCTTGCGGAAGGGAAAAAAATTCACACCGGCTTTTGAAAGCGAGGCAGTGAATCAAAACGTGAACTGAACCCTTTAACAGTTTTGTAATAGCCTGCTATTGTCGAGACCGAAACCCATTATGTAATTGGTAAAGAAACGTTTTAAATTAATCAAAATTTAAACAATCGAATTGTCTAAATTTTAGGGGAATGCGATATTCTAGAAGAGAGTTCCCTGGAAGGTAAAACAAACTGTAAAAGGCAGAAAGTGTTAGGATGGAATCCGACAGTTCGACAGCGTTTGACGTTCGGCCAACGCTTCGAATTTGAAAATCGAGACGAAACGGCCGAATGGCAAAAAAAAATCTGTAATAAAAGGGGTGAAAAATGTTTTTATCTGTTCTAAACGTGGTAGACAAAAGGCAAAGGGTCAAGAACTTAAACTAATATTTTTTTTGTGTTAGAAAATAAAAAGACCCCGAGACGGGCCTGGGCTCACTTGTCAATCGGATTTTCTGAGCTCCGTTGTTGTTGTTGAAGTTGGCGTTTGACATTTCGGAATTTGGCCGGCCATCGGAGGCGAAACAGGGCCGAATCAAATCGTGGAACGGGCAGAAATCGCGTCCAGCTCCCGAAGAACGAACTTGTCTCAAACCCCACAAACGTAAACCCGACCATTAATTGATGACCACTCGACTAGAAATCAGTCTGACCAACTTAAACCACACGCTATTTTTAATACGTTCAATTTAATTAAGTTTAATTTCATTTGTTATAATCAGACAAATTTATAGCATAATCGAAAAAAGCAAGATCCAATTAATAAAATTTATCTACCAAACTAGAAAATATGAGATGCTCCATTGAAAACTTTTTTTGATGATGCCCCCTTCCACGATTTGAACTATGGAAGGAATAGTGATATACATATCTCAAAAAACTTATTTACTGTATACAATACTTATAATATAATAATAATCCTAATAATAAATAATAGCTTTCTTAAATTTATTTGAATTTATAATGAGATTTAGGCCTTTTCCCAAATTCTTATACTTTTGAAGATCAGCTAGTGTCTGAATGAGAGTTCTGCTTTTTTCAAATTTTTGATGCTGCCGGAGCGGAAAATTGAAATAAAAGAAAATACAAATTGTGGGTTAATAAACTACAATACCCAAAATCTTAGAAAAACGTAGTAAAGGTTTAGGGGATTTTACAATGAAAATCTATTAACTTTTTTATTCAACGATTATGATTATTATGTAAAATCGGTGTAGCTGAGTTGAATTAGGAAAATGGAGAGCGTTATTTTAAATATTATTAATTTTATAGGTATTTTTATTTTTATTAATATATGGCTTTATAAGAAAAACATTTCCTTTCATTTTCCATCATTTTTTTTTTTTTAATTTTTGACAGTTTCGAGATTTAAACCCATCAACAGCAACTATCAAAGTTCTTTTTATACAACATTATAAACATCACTAAGTTATTTATGTTATTATTATTATTTTTTGTATTGTAGGTTTATTTTGCTTTTTCGGTCAAACATCCGCTAAGCCATAAATGTTCTAATTTTATTTTATGTTTATTATAGCATTTACAAGTATTATAATATTTAGCAGTAGTAGTACAGTTTATTATAGTATTGTAATTGAAGAAAATAATAATTAATATTTTGTATATAAATATATAATAAGCTTAAAAACGAAATAAAAGAAATTTCAAATTGTGAGGTAATAAACTACAAACTACAATGCCCAAATCGCAACTTAAATAAGGAAAGATAGCTCAACAAAAAAAAATTTTACGAGGTACAAATTAACTTTTTTATTCAACGAAGCTGAGTCGAATTATGAAAATGGAGAGAGTTATTTTAAATATTATTAATTTTATAAGTGTTTTTAACATGGAATAATTAAAGATTTTTTTTTATTTATTTTTTTTTAATTTTTGGCAGTTGCGGGATTTAAACCAAACAACAGCAACTACCAAACAAGCACATGAATCTAAAAACTTCTTCAAAGTGGGAATGGCGTGAAAGTGGCGAAAAATAATAGCCAATAAAAAAATTATTGTTTTTGTTTTATTATTATTGGTAAGTAGCAACAGAATATTTATAGTATTTAAATATGAGAATAAAAGAATAATTTTTTTTTTTTTTTTTTTTTTTTGTTATGAGGGTTTGCCACAGCAGAGGTCATATTAACCCCCTTGCCACTGTTTTTGAAAAAAAAAAAACCTTTTGTAAGTATGTTGGGTTTGAATGCAGGGCACACCTTATGCTGTGCCAACGCCAAAAACATTGTGGCCATCAACACCTCTTATTATTATTATTTGTCATACAAGCCTATGTGAAATGTCTAAATTATGGAACAAAAATTCAAAATTATAATTAAAGATGAATAAATTTTATAATTTAAAATGTGTTTTTGGCATACATTTGACCTTCCAAATTGTCTTTTAAAAGTAAAAATTCAATTTTCAATAGGATAGATTAGTTTATGAGTGAATTTTTTTCAGTCAGAGCTTTGTAGCACTCGGAAGGGAACCTAAGATAAAAGTCCATTTATGTTTAGTGGTCTAATTGACCATGTTAATTATTTCAATTAATTTTTCTTTTTAAGGTTGAGATGAAAAAGTTAGTGTCACAAGCGGGATTCGAACCCATGACCGTCGGCTCAATACACCACTGCTCTAACCATTTGACTGTTGTAACTTCGATCCATTCAGACACCAACTCCCCATCTCAACCTAACTTTCAAATTTTCTCTCTTTTCGCCATTTTTTTCTTCTCAACTAAGACAAAAAAAAAGAATTATTTTAATAATTTCATCCAATGCTCATGGCTTCTAGGTGCATCATGACCAGAATATTTGAATTTAAATTGGAAAAAAACAAGAAAAAGGAAAAAAATCCTCCTTCAAAGGCAAATTTTTGGTACACTGATGGATCTAGGAAGCCAAAATGTACAGGGAAAGGAGACCCTTTGTGCAAGTACGCCAGTATCTTTCAAGCTGAAATACATGCAATCAAGAGATGTACTGTTATATATAAAAACATCACATCCGATATCCAGGCAGGATTAAACTCACACAGCTAAGAACATTAGGTCGAGAATGGAACTGAATTGCAAAATTAAACGAGGTTAAACAGGTTAAGTGAACAAAATAAAATCGCTGATATAACCAGAACTCTTTTGTAGTATGCCAAACCATCAATAAGCATCTTAGGAAAGAAGATGGAAGTGATGAAACGATGGAATTCACTCGGGCAAACAATCCAAAAACCTCCTGATGAGATCCAGAAAGAAAGGAACAATACAAAAAAAAAATTCTTAACTGCGAACTGAGCCCTTGAGAGATTAGCATCAACCAACATGTGTGCAGAATCTTGCCAGAAGAGACATCTCACCTACTAAACTGTGGTGCTACACTTAATGTCAGGAAGGAATATTTAGTGAAATAATAAACTGTAGAAGAAATACAACCAGTAAAACTTAAAAATTACTCGTTGAATTCGGACTCATCACTATTCAATAAGTACAACAGAGAAGATAGTTCTCAAAGGGGGACTGTATGCCAAATTTTACTCAATTATGTTATTTATAAATGAAAGAGACTTTCATTCAAAATATATATAAAAATAAAAAATTTAAAAAAGTTGATCACCATGTCAGTTTAATTTACAATAGAAATAGTAAATTCTACGCGAAAAATTACGTTTGAGTCATACTTAGTTTTACAATAAAATAGGGAGCATAAAAATAAAAGTCCAAGTCTTTTATAAAAACTCACACGGTATAATACTTGTAGTTTGGTTGTTTTTTACCAGATCTACTTTCCCCATTGTATTGGTATTTATCTACCTTCAGTTCTTTCATGTTAATTTTTTGGTCACCAATTTATTGTTCTTATTGCAAATCTGTGAAAAAACAGGATATTAGGCTTAAATTTGTTTGAGAGACAAAAACTTACTAATAAAAAAGTTCTTCTCATCAGTATAATTGTAATAATTGTTAAACTGAAAACAAAAAATAGAATTTTTAAATATTATTTATTTTTTCATTCCCTTTGTCAAGGGTTATCGGGGGCGATCCGATTATTTTTGCTCGTTTGTACGTAAATCTATGATTGCAACACAGAACGCATGGCAAGAGACAATACAGAGTTTACAACACAACAGATTAACGGTCTATTCTTCTGTCAGATGCTCTATTATTTCGTTGAGCTGGTTTTGTAACACATTATCATTTGCTGTGTCTATATTGACTATATCTTTGAGGTGTGGCTGTATTTCCTTGCAGACTGACGGTATTTTTATGAGGTTCATGAGGACTTTGGCCGCGTTCCTCTTGAGGTGTAAGGCTGAATTGTCACTAACGAGCACACTCAGTGCATCGTTGTGAATATCTTTTTCAACAGCGTCTATCTTTCCTTTGATCAGAGCTGTCGTGAACATCAATGTCCCGAAGACCTTGGCTTGCATTTTGTCATCCTGAAAATTTGTTCATTTTAGTTTTTAATTAGCATTTATATGAAAGGTGCTTTTACTTCTTTGTAATTGCTTGGCATGAGTTGGTCAATAACACCGTGTGCCACACAACCCTCTCGCCCGAGCTTGTGCTTGCAAAGTTGGGTGAATACGCCCATCGCAGCTCCTCTTACCCTCGAATTATGGTGTGTGAGCAAACTTGTTATGTCGAAAATGTCATACCTGATACTTTCCACTTTAACGGCATCGTTAAAATCCAACAAATGTTCCAAAGTCTCAAGGAGGTAATACTAGACAAGTCGATAATAATTATTAACAATTAACCAATATTATTAAAAAGGAGTACCAAGTGTTCTGCCATTGTAAATGGTCCTTTCATTGCTGTTTGTAATGCTGTAAGAATATGCCGGACAAAATGTTCATTTACGAGGTATTCTACAGCTAAAAACAAAAACAAAAACAAAAAGTTATTTAAAAAATAATCAACATGGAAGAGACTTACATAACCTCAATGCTTACAGATTTCAGCTGTTTTTCATATTTTTCTAGGTTTAATTTTGCGAGAATTCCCTTGGAGTTTGGGGGGTGATGAACCTGAAGTTTAATTCTTTCCGATCATTTTAGTTTACTTACCCTAGCTTTGGTCTCGCAGATGTGTTTCACCTTCTAACCAATTTCATTGCTTGGGTTTTGAGAAGCCAAAATGCAAAATTTAAATTGAAATAGAACAGAATTCTTTAGGTTCATCACCCCCACAGACCTACTTAGGTATCTACTCTCTTTTAAAATTACTTCCTGAATTCTTTAGTTATTTATTTTTTTTTTTAAACAATCATTAAGTTTTTGACCAAGTAATGGCTTAATGAATAAAGAACAAAACTGCTCTTTAACTTACCAAACCAATTGATTGCTAAGGCACGCAATGTCCTGAAAGCTTGGGCTCGCACAAGCTGTTCTTCATCGACCATGTTGTTCTTGAGATGACCCATGATGTACTTGTTCCGAGCCAGTGTTACCCTCCCGTTAGGCGCATCTGCAAGGACTTCCAAAACGTCTAAAGTTTTTATCCTGATGTACATATTTTTGCTGTGCATGAGCCTCACTAGTCTGAAATTATTTTATCGTGGAATTAAATGTTCGTTGTACATACGCAAACTACATACGCTTGCATTATGTTTAAGCGGAGTGCCTCGCATGCCCTTTCCGGGTTTTTGACAAGGTCGTTAAGTAAGCAGAGTGCTTGTGCGACTTGGACATTCGATTTTGTTCTGAGGAGTGTCCTTTTCTGTAAACAACACCAAAAAATAAACTTATTTCTATAAACCAAAAAGCAGTATAATGAGAATAAATTAAACTTTTTTTTACATAAAACAAGAAACTGTATATGTTTGAAACAATGTTTCAGCCTATAAGGCAGAAAAACAGGAGAAATATTTAAACTTCTTTGTCAAAAATTGACTGAAAACATAAGTCATAAGTTTTTAGTTTTGTATAAACAGAGGTCAAGCTTAGAAAATTTAGCTGAATCAGCCCTCAGCGTAGTTTTACATCATGTTTTTAAGAATTACCAAACTTGGTATGGATTGTCTGTCAAATCCCATATTAGCTCTTGTCACATCAACCCAAGGTGCAAAACAATATGGCTCGGAGTCAACAAGGTAGAGAAAAGGTGTCGGGTGGTCTGAGTATCTGTCGATAACCTCGTTCATAACTAAAAACCGAGTTACCGAGTTATTACCCTGGAAGACAAACTTATCGCCAGGCACTTACGGAGCTTTATCGTCTTGTTGATACTCCATGGCTCCAGGCTGTTAACCGGGGGTGACTGGGCGATATATTTGTGCTGATATGAATACATCCTGCTCGTTTTTAGAGTGGAGAATTATGACTGATGAAGTCAAACCTAATTTGAAACTTTTTTTCACGTTGTGTGTGTATTGGGATTTTTTGACTAACTTTTAGCAAACTATACCTTATTTTTGTGCCATATGTGTTAAAACAAAATGTTTTGAGTGAAAATATTTTCAATAAAAATAAAAGATTAAGTCAATAATTTATCTGGGTTTGACGCATTAAAGTAAAAAGCCATTTAATGCTCAGTTTGATGTTTTTTTTAAACAAATAATAATAAATTGAAAAAACTGCACCAGTTATTATTAATTGTTCAAACAAGTTAGTGAATGTTTAAGAAATTTAAACAATCTAAGAAGTAAATTTATAAAAGAATGGAGGTGATGAACCTGTAGTTGTCGGTTTTGTTCATCTTGTTCTATCTTTGCCGGTTTAGCTTCTCAAGCATTATTCAGTATGTACCATTTTTTATTCGATGGTGAAACGCCAAAACAAGATCTGTAAAAATTGAACAGCTAAGATAAGCAGGCTCAGATGATCAGATCAGAAATGAGTACAACTTGCTACAACCCAGTACACCCATTGGTCCAAATTTGAACGTTTAGAAGAGCAAATTTCTCGTCAAGTCAGAATTGGCAGGTTTCGTGCACTTTGCTATTTTAAAACTTCTAAATTGTATGATATTTTTATTAATACAAGCACGAATATACAATTTATAAGAGAAAGAAAACACTGACAATTGGAATAACTTGAAATTCGAATGCATAAAAAGTCAATTAGCAGGTTTAGTGCTTTTTGCTATTTTATATTACTATTTGTATTTCTTGTAATTTCTATGCTAATTTTTTTAACATAGCATAAATAGACAGTTTTATAACCAAAAAAATGAACAAATTGGCTGTAGGTTGAATTTCTCCAGGAATCAAAAAGTCAGAATTGACAAGTTTAATGCTTTTTGCTATTTTATTTATTCTTTATTAGGGGTGTTGGTAGCCACAATGGTTTAAGCGTTGACACAATGCTCATCACTGTTAGATAATAGTCCTGGATTTGAATCCAGCAGCCCTGCATTCGAACTGGATATGGGCTTTTTTTTCCAAAACCACCAGCCCTCCTTATTATTTATTAATTAATTAAGGTTTTAAGTTGAAATAAAAAATTGTCACCCAGAATCAAACAGATTACACGACATTTGAAAAATGGCAAAAAGGAGGGAAAATTAAAAAATAAATTTAAAAAAATTAAAATTAAAAACAAATTAAAAAAAAAAGTGTGGTTGAGATGGGAAGTTAGTGCCCGAGGGGATCGAAGTCACGATAGCTCAAGTAGTAGAGTAGCAGCGTATCAAGCCGAAGGTAGTGAGTTCGAATCCCGCTCTTGACACTGACTTTTTTATCTCAACTTACAACTTTAATTAATTGATTTATATTAATTGGTCAAGCAGACCACGAAAAATAGTGAATTTAATGAATTAAAATGAAGTATACTTCACTAAAGCAATCCGAGGCCATTTCACTTGTCACTGAGAATCAAATATAACACAAGATTTGAAAAATGGCAAAAAGGATGGAAAATAAAAAATATAAAAAAATTAAAAAATAAAATAAAAGTTGTGGTTGAGATGGGAAGTTAGTGCCCGAGGGGATCGAAGTCACGACAGCTCAAGTGGTAGAGTAGCAGCAGATCAAGCCGAAGGTCGTGGGTTCAAATCCCGCTTGTGACATTGACTTTTTTATCTCAACTTAAAACTTTAATTAATTGTTTGATATTAATTGGTCAAGCGGACCACGAAAAATAGTGAATTATTATTTATATTTCTTGTAATTTCTATGATATTTTTTTTTAACATAGCATAAATAGAGAGTTTATAATAAAAGAAATGAACAAATTGAGTATGTGTTGAAATTCTCCAGGTATCAAAAAGTCAGAATTGAGAGGTTTAGTGCTTTTTGCTATTTCATTTATTATTCATTCGGGGCATCAGGGGCTGATAAAACAACATAATTAGCTTTTGTCTTCAAGATCGTACATTCCTTTAGAGTGTACATGAATAAAATATACCGATATTGCATATAATAAAATGACGAAACGTGCCTACAGGACGAAATAATAAGGTTAGGTGGACCAAAATGATCTGCAACGACTACACTGCATGTTCATCACCCTTCAGTATATTTCACAATGACCTGTGTTGTGATTTTACGTACTTCATCTATGACCCTAGTTGTCATTATTTTGACACTCCAATCTAAGTAAAAAAAATTAAATTTTCTGTCACCCGGGAATAGGAGGTTGTTCAGAAGCATTTGTTCTTAATATAAAGTCTAGGCTTATCTATATCGTTATTTATGGTTGAGACATGGTGCGAATTATGCCCATCATAGTGTCCTCATGCCTAAAACCACAGAAAAAGCCACGGAAAGGCTGACATTACTAACAACTACGATCAGATAGCTCCAGGAATCTGTACTGTTAAGCACTGCCAGACGATATCGAAGATTATCTATATCTAGATTTATATTTCTTGTAATTTCTATGTTAATTTATTTACATAGCATAACAGTTTATAAAAAAAGTCTTATCAAAGATTATCTCTTGGAATTTAATAACTTTTTTTTTTATCTGCAGCGTAGACGCATGGGCCTTGTATTTTTATTTTTTTATATTTTTTGTGAAGCAATTATTGTAGTTTTGGAAGGGTTTGCTTAAATCTGTTGTAAACACCATTGTTCTACCATGTTATGTGCTTTTTGCGTGAGTTTTTTTTTAATGTTGAGGCAATCTTTTACCTGACTAGTATAACAATGTCATCTTCATAGTCTTGGGAATAGATCCCGCTTTCATTTACTTTACTTGCGGCATCGACCACTACCACATTCTCAGAGGCAAGAGTTTTCCTCTATAACAAATACAGTGTGGCGCTGGCCCGAAGAGAGAGGGAGAGAGAGGTTGAAACAAGAGAGAGGGGAAGGACTACGGGGAGTTATGAACGGTACCAGATGAAGACAGTACTTTTTTTTTGAGCTGATTATCTGCACTAAATCAGACATCCTTGGTCTAGGATCATTCAAGAGGACTCTTTTCAACATCGGAGACCAATATTCAAGAATAGCATTTCCTTGAGGTCAAAACAAATTTTCTTCTCTCTACAGGATCAGTATCATGATCCAATCTTCCAAAGTTTTTTTTTTAATGAATCTTATTATTATCTATTAAGGGGGACTTATCTTGCTGGAGTTATATATTTTAAGAAGAAAAAAAACATATTTCCTTGTACTTGAAAGGTGATGTAATGTATTCTATAATAATGACAAGAGCAATGAGCAAATTTCAGAAAACTATGTACATGTGCTTGCTATACTATAAATAGTATCCTATTGAATTTCTTATATCAATTTTAATTAGGGAAGATTACAAATTAAAGTTGATGGTTGATAATTGTATTGTATAATTGTATGTAAGTTGATAATTCTTGCCTCGCTATGATGATCCTGTAGAGAGAAGAAAATTTGTTTTGACCTCAAGGAAATGCTATTCTTGAATATTGGTCTCCGATGTTGAAAAGAGTCCTCTTGAATGATCCTAGGCCAAGGATGTCTGATTTAGTGCAGATAATCAGAAAAAAAACTGTATTTGTACTGTATACTGTATTTGTTATACCTCCTTGTCGACATCCTCTCGCCACCTCCATTACTACTGTTTTGTGGAATAAGTCCTGCACTTTTTTTCCAACGATAAGAAATGAAATATGTCTCGCAAATGGCACAGGAGCACTGAAACATAAATAAAATTATTTTTATTTACTAAAAAAAACATCTTCAAAATAATACTGACACATATTCGAATGCAAAGCAATCACTCAATGGAGACATAGGAGACCTAGTACATCTTAAGAGAAGGATCGAGATGGTTGCACTGAACAAACAATTAGAAAGGTACAAGCCAGAAGGCTGTGCTTGAGAAACAAAAACCCCTACTTCTATCATCATCATCATCAATGTCGCAAAAAAATTATTTAAACTTTTTTCTCACCACCATTTACATTTACAAACTGAAGCATTGGGGGCTGAAATGACACATCGTGGCCGAGGCTACAAGCTGGGGAATGTGTTTTATTATCCAAAAATCAGCCCTGAAAAGGTTAAAACTCAAAAATTTATTTTCGTTAAATTATTTATTGAGATGCTGAAAATTAAAGAAAGATAAGGATAGGTTTAGCATAAAACACACAATTTTAAAAAGTGCGTGTTGTTTGATTAAAAAAGAAAATAATTGTATAAATATTTTTATTTCACATTTATGTATAAAAATTTTTTACACCGAAATGTACAATAAACATATTTATTTCATATTTAAAATTCATCTATAGTTGGATGGATAAAAATTAAATCGTCTTCCCGTTGATTATATCATTGTGGTTTGAGCGAGAGATACATTTTATTCTGAGTCTTTTGCTTGACCGGATTTATCTTCTGAAGTATCTGCGTCATGACGTTGACTAGCTGTTCAGAACTGAGTCCGGTTTTTCTGTTTTTGAATTTCTGCAGGAGCTCTGTAGCCGTCATAGGCTTCCTCATGAGATACCTCCTGACAGCCTCTTCGGTTATGCCGTTCTCACCTCTGTGAACAATACATGGCGGTCAGTTAGAGTAATAAAATACGTATGTCGATTTTGTACCCATAAGAAAGAAGGGGCATCTCCATGCGTGGCTTCTTCGTCTGAACCGGATCGACTTTCTTCTCGGCCGGAGTCTGTGCGTTTGAACTCGATCCATTATCTTTGGATTTGTCTGTGTCCGAATCACTACTATCACCGCTTGAATCTGAAGAAGAATCTATAAAGTAAATAAGCAATGTAATTATTATTTTTTAGTTATTTGTTATGAACTAAATCTACCTTTTATATATAATAAAAATATTAATAAATTAGTTATTTATTAGTAAAAAAAATCTATCTTTATACCATCATTTTTCTTCTTTTCGTTTGACTTTTTCTTCCTTTTTCTCTTTTTCGCATCTTTAGCATCTTTCCCATCGTTCTTTTCGGCATCTTTGTTTTCGGCAACTTTCTCTCCTTCTTTCTCCTCTTCTTTCTTTTCTTCTTCGTCCTCCTCCTCGTCCGATGTAAGGAGCCTTCTGAGGGCGCTCTCTTCCGCCACACCTTTCATTTCCTTGACCACCTTGGCGTCGTGATCTGATTCACTAAAAAAATCCAGACGGAAATGTATTTTATTTATTTTCATCATTTGTTATAATTAATAAATGAAAGATTGTAAACCTGTCTGATGAATCGGATATATAATCGAGCTCCCGCCCTTCTTCATCACCGTCGTCACTTTCCTCAACGGCTGATTCATCAGAACCTTTACGTTTTTTCTTCTTTTCAGGAACTTTTTCTAAAGTAGACATATTTTCAACACACTGTTTTTTATCTCTTGTTACGCAAAATACTCACTCTTTTTCTTATCTTTTTCTTTCTTCTCTTTTTTCTCGCCTTCCTCATCATCAGATTCGGACTCATCTTCCTCAGAATCGATCCAATCGTCCATTTCAGAAATCTTAAGCTCTAAAAACATTGAATGAAATTAAGGGAAAAACGGATGACTGTAAATAATATACCATTAGATTTCCTCCCCTTCTTTGGTTTTTCTTCTTCTTCCCCTTCGCCATCTTCATCGTTCTTTAGCCTTTTCCTCATCATGAGCGAAAAGTAGTTCATCACCTTGTTCCGCCTAGAAAAATGATCAAAATTTACTAACAATTTATTTAAATTGTCTTTTTTAATATTTACCTTCCAAATTCTTGTTCTGCTTCTTCTGCCGATAAGGCCTTATACCTCTGTATGGCCTGGAAGTTGTACCACTCGTTCAAAGGGTAAGCTTCGATGCCACCATCAGCAGCATGTGTGAAAACGTAATAGGACGCATTTTCGGCCACCCCACCTTCACGAATCCCTTTGAATCTTGAAAAAAAAGTATTATGTAGTTCTCTGATTTTTTAAAATTGAACACACATGGTGGGACGCCCATGAATCAAAATAGAGGTTAAGGGTAAAATTGTGGGATTCATACTCATATTTGAGGATAACAATAAAATTATACTTCATAACATCACCCAACTTTATAGAATATTGAAATAAAAGGAAACACAGGAAAAAAATGAATTACATGTTTAAAAAAATCGTCCCCATGTCTGGACGTTTTATAGACTATTTGTTATCTCAAAATAGCTTCAACTAGATATAACAAATAGATAGGGGACTGTGGATCAATAGCTGAGATGAGAGTGATGTAACCCATAAAAATTACTATAGGATGACCACAGGTGGGCATAAAGACTTGGGTTTAATAAAGAAGTAAACGATATAGAAATAAAGGTCAAAGATATGCAGATGAAATGGTATAATTGCTAAAGGAAATCTTCTTTGGTGACATGATTTGATTTGCTGGGCTTGGAATCAATCTTAATCAAACAAATGTTCCAGAAAACAAACAAGTTTTTTTTTGTAAATTAATGTGTAGTTGGCTCAGAAGAAGGAGCCTGTAAGAAAGCTAGGCAACACATAAAGGATCCAAAATGGTGGGACTGTCTTGAAAGTGGAAGTAAGTGGCTAGGGCACAACGAGGGCTACAGGTTGACAAGAATAGGTGAACTCCAAAAAAAGCTGGCTCTTGAACCTTAATTTTTTTTAAAGGATTTTTTGTCGTCAGAATACAGGATTCTGGAGGACCAAATGATGAAACTTAAGGTAAGCAGAGGGAGAGATCACCAAGAGGTTCAGGAAATTCTCCATCAATGAACGCATCGGAAGAAAACCAGGCTACACTTTTATTAGTTCTTGTTTAGTAGTTTATACCCTGTTAGTTTTTATAAAAGAGATGGCATTTTATTTAATTGAATTAAATACAAAAATGTAATTTGAGTTGATTTTTTCAATACATAACTTTCTCATCATGCTGGGAAATGACACTAACTTTATTTTAAATGAGAATCCCATATTTTTATTGTCAATTTCTGTTCTAGAGGCTTATTTTATGCCACTTTTACTGAAAGAAAATTTTTAAGAAGTTTGTATAAGACCATTTTTGTTAATGCTAATTGTTTTTTGAAATAAACAGGGAAGGCCATCTTGTAGTTACAAAAAGCATATCTCCTTATATGTCTTACATTGGGCATAACTCATAAATGTTCGATCCTATCAAAATTTTCCTTTTGGTCCGTGTAATCTGGGGTTTGTGCAAGACCATTTTTTGTTAAAGTGAATCGTTATCGAATTAAATTGGTGGACTATAGTTGATACATATATATCTTTTATATTTTTGTAAATAAACTTTGCCTGTCTATTAAATAAATTGAGGCATTAAGTAAATCAGGCCAGGGGGGCAGTGGAGGAGGCTATAGGGAGGGAAACGCGCTTTAACTCCCAAAAAGGTTAAAGGAGACACTGTTCCACTTTACGTGTGTTACTTTCACAACGGCATGGGAATATTGTTTCCCAACGGCTTTGCGTTACATTATTAATTAGATTTACTGAAAAGAATTTCAAGAGTTTAAAGTAAATAAAATGAGGATTGAGATAGCCAAGTGGTTAGCGTGATAGACTCTCAGCGTATAAACCCCGCGGTCATGGGTTCGATTCTCACTGCTGCCTCTAGCCTTTTATTTTTTGTCGTGATATCGTTCCTCTCAATACACAAACTAATAATATATCATCTCTTTTTTTTATGATATTCTTTACAGCTTAATTGATTAGTTTGTCCAAGAAAAAAAAATTACCCCCAAATTTCCAATTCATTTTTCTGATAAATAGAAATCTCTTGTTATTCAAAAAAAGATAGCCTATAAGAAGTAGAAGTAATCAAACTCATATAACGATTATATACTATTCTCGAATATGCAATGACAAATGCAGCTTAATTACACAAATAATTTAGAAAATTGTCTATCTGCTGATCCTAAAAGTTTCTGATCTTATGTTCAAAAGAAAATAAAGATGAATTAATTACCAAATTCTATGAAATACTTAGATCTTGTAGCTAATAACTTTCAAGACATAACCAACTATTTTGCTTTTTACTTTGGCTCAGTGTATTACAGTGTGGACTATCATGAATTTAGATATGACGAGACAGTCAATGTGTTATCAGCAACAATCAATGAAGTTGAAATTTTAAAAGTATTTTATAATTTTAAATATAAGGGTCCTGACGACATTCTAAGTGTGGTGTTGAAACAGTTTTTTATTGTTGTTCTGGTCAAATCACTGGCAATATTATCCATCATTAGAACTGGGTTTGTTCCCAGATAAGTGGAAATCTGAAAAATTGTACCCATTTTCAAAAGTGGTGACCAATCTTTGATCTCAAATTAAAGACCTGTAAAATCTCGTAATAAAATATTTGAAATAATTATATCTAATAAAATAACATTTTTTTTTTAAATATTTACTTGATAAAAATCAACATGGTTTTATGAAAAATGAATCATCATTCACTAACTTGGTGTATACTCAGTCGTGAATTTTTGATGCATTTATGGCTGGATTTCAGGTCGATTTTATATTTACCGACTTCAGTAAAGCATTTGATCGCATAAATCATAACATTTTGTGCAGTACGCTTGAAGCTATACATGGTATATACATTGAAAGTATACATGGTAAATTACTAAAATGGCTTAGGGACTATCTAAGTGATAGAAAAGAATCGGTAATTGTAAATAATTCAACGTCTAAACGAATAATTGTTAGTTCCATTGTGCCCCAAGGGGGACATCTGTTGCCATTATTGTTCAATATTTTTATAAATGATGTTGCTAAATGTTTTGAATTTTGTGCGTTCAGGTTTTTTGCTGATGACTTAAAAATTTTTAAACTGGTAAAATCATTAAAGGACTGATACGCTTCAGCAATCGTTTTCAAATCTAGTCAACTGGTGTGATATGAATAGCATGTCCCTAAATATCGATAAATGTAAAATTGTGTGTTATCATAGAAACTCAAATCCCATTAGATATAAGAGAAAAATATGTGATATGGAATTACTGGCTTTAAATATTATTAAGAACCTTGGTAGTTGGTCTAGTTTCTCTTTTATGTTACATATTAAAACGGCTGTAAATAAATGTTTAAAATTGCTTGGATTATTAAAGAAAAATACAATAGAATTTATGAATTTTCATTGTATAAGAATGCTTTATTTATCTTTAATAAGGCCGGTTCTGGAGTATAAATCAGCTGTTTGACACCTTATTATATAAAATATGTTCAGAGAATAGAAAGTGTGCAAAAAAGATTCTTCAGGTATGGGGCTTTCAAGCTTGGCCTAAAATTGGATTTTTTTTAAATGACCTTAGGTTGTTGACAACTTATGTACTCTAGAAAAGCGTAGAAAAGTTGGCAATGTTACCGTTTGTTTCAGATTAATAAATAACATACTATGTTGTCCGGAACTTTAGAAAGAATTAAACTGAATATACCTAGTAAAAGAACAATGTATACCAAGTTGTTTTATGTTCCTATAAGCAAAACAAACTATATGGTCAACTCTCCGATGCATAGAATATGCACGGAGGAATGTTCAGTTGGATCTATCATTCATTGTGTTCTGTGAAAGATATGTAAATTGTATAATGTACTTAAATTGGCTTGCCGTAAATAAAGATATTATAAATTATAAAGATATTATAATTAATAATTATAAAATATTGTCTATTTGGCTAATATGCATAGTTCATAAGGTCATTAAATAAAGAAATAAAAACCTACTTTTTTCCAGATTTCCCTCCGACTTTAAGAATCCATGGTTGATCCTCTGGTTTATAACGTCGTGTTATGATGCCGTACTTCTTTCTCCTCGCCTCTTCCCTTGCTTCTCTGCCGTACTCGCTCCCGGCACCAAACCTGGTGATAAAAAGATTGTAAAGCTTGGACGGCAGTTTAGACTTGAGTATGACTCACTTTGGCTGTTCTTCGTCCTGCGTCTTGAACTCTTTGATGTTGTTTTCCCTTTCCATCTTGACTTGAGACCATTTCGTAAAATCGACGTTCTGGACCGAGTTGAAACGCATGACATGGTACGACTTTCTCGAATTCCTAAAACGTCCAGACAATGAAATAAGAGATACTGTATAAGCCGGTCCTCATCTTAGCATAAGATATGAATAGTTTTTAATGTAAGTTAAAACTAGTAAGGAATTTCACATTGGACTTAAGACCATAAATCTGATAGGACACCCAGTAGGGAGCAGAGACATTTCCCACAAGCCTATAAGTCATAGAAAAGCAACAGATGAACAGTCTGTCCACTAAATAATTAAAATCAAGGAGTTATTTAGTGTGGGAAAGTTGTACATAAATTACCAAGCTGTGGGATGCCATAAATTTGGGGTCATGTCAGTCAATTGGGTGTCAATACACTCTTCTGTGGAAATCCATCGATATGAGACTGCATAATAGAAACTCCTTAGTGTTGTTTTCGTGCAGCCAACCTTTGCAAGAAGCAAGTTGACTATCTAGTCCAATGGTTTTTGTTTTTCCTTTCCTCTCTTACCCTGTTTGGGACACAGGTATAAATGGGGATGATTGGAAATGCAAAGGCAATCTAGAGGACTCAGTCAAGTGAGTAGGAGGCTCACAGAGTCAGTCCAAGTCAATTGTCCAGGGCCAAGACGAGTCAGATATAATAAATTGTCAAAGAATGACAAGTTAACTGTCAAGTGTCTTGGAAGCAGCAGGTGTCAGTCACAGCAGCCATAGTCAGTCTGAGACATGTCGACTATCCGGGAGCAACACGATTCTAATAGTGTTGACTGTTGAAGAGCAGTCCGATGCAGGAAGAATCAACTGTTGAGTGTCTCCTAAGCAATGGATAGAAAAATGGGCTATGTCAACTAGAAGCAAGAAGACCGTAAAAGAACAGTCAACTGGAAAACTCAGTCAAGTCAGTCGGTGGATCACAGCCAGACCAAGACACATCAATTATCCAGGACTGAGATGAGTCGAATAGAGTAGACTGTCAAAAAGAGAGCCAACACAAGACTAGTCTGCTGTAAAGAGTCTTGCAAGCAGCAACCAGAGCCAAGAGGACTCAGCACAGAGTCCTTGGATATGGAAAACTCAGTTGATTCAAGGACTCGGTCGGGGACTGAGCGAAAGGTCAGTCAACTTGAGTATTCAGTTGTCAGTTGGTTGCTGACAGAGTCAGTCTGAGAGGCCAGATTGATTATCCAGGGCTGAAATGAGTCAAATAGAGTAGATTGTCAAAGAGCAGCCCAATACAGGACGAGTCAAGTGTCGAGTATCTTGAAAGCAGTGCACAGAAGGAAGGACCCAGTCAACTGGAAGACTCAATCAATCCAAAGACTAAGTTGGGTCCTCGACAAGAGGATACAGTTAACTCAGTGGTTCAGATAGTCGAGAGCAGTCATATCTACCAGTAAGGACTTAGACATCACTATACGCCAAATACAGTAGACTGTCAAAGAGCAGCTCAAGCAGAATGAGTCGACTGTCAAGTCTCTCAGAAGTAGCAGACAGGTGGATAGACTCCGTCAACCAGAGCCGAGCCAAGAAGACTCAATGAGAGCACAGAGTCTATTGGAGGACTCAGTCATAGTCGGTGGATCAAGCAGTCATCTCTGCCAGCAAGGACTTAGCCAATGCGACAAGTCAAATAGGAAGCTGTGGAATCCTGGAAGATGCTGAAGGACATGTAAGTTCGAGTTGGCGAGCATTATCTGGAGTAAGTCCCTCTTGTAAATAAGCTCATATCCACAACTATTGTGGCTGACTTGCATCTATTGTGTGACTTTCTGTTTATTACAATATTAAGACAAGCCGATGCAGCAATAAATGTTCATGATTTTATTTCTGGATAACGATCAGGATAGGCACATAGAGCGTCGGCTCAGGCTTACAAAAGTTAATATAGATTAATAAATAGGCTTACTTGGGCACTTTAATGCTGTACTCCTGCACAGTCGGTGCTGCGCCCTAAAAACGAAAAAACTTTCAGGCATGTTCAAAATAAATCGAAAAAACGTGCATACCGGCGAGTTGTTCATTATCTTCGTTTTTTTTTAAATCGTAATGAAAAGAAACGCTATCCTAGCATCATTCCTTGATGAAACTCCACCTGTTGAAACTTAAAACGGGCCAAACTTTCTTGGCAATGAAGGGCTAATCACTTTCACCTCGGAATAATCAATTTTGAATGTATTTCTATCTTGGAAATAAACCGTTTTCGGCCTAGAACCAAACAGAACGAGAACCAAAAACAATTCACACTCGAGAAGGTTTTATGGATAGTGAATTAGCGATCGCTGGATCAAGGTAAACAGAAGGCTGAACAACTCCCAAAATCCAATTGGCTCTTCGCCTGGTGACGCAAAAATCAGTAATTGTTTGCCCCATATGCCAATATTCCTCCAATTTTCAAATAATCCTCAATAAAATTAGTAAAATGAAAATATTACAAGTTACAGACAATAAAAATAATTATAATAACTTATTAAAACAAAATACAAGGCAGGAGAATGACAATTTATTTATTTACACGGGTAAATATACCCAGTTCTATACAAATTCTATAAGAGTTTAAACTATACATAAATAATAATAAATAATTGAAACATAAATAATAATTTTATACAACAATAATTAAAAATATGGACATATTCAGAGAAACAAACAAAAATAAATATTGTAAGCATTGTGTCATAATACACGTGTATAAAAATATGAAAGAAGTGAGAAGGAATGCTAAAAATTTAATCAAACCACACAAATATATAAATAAATATAAAAGAAGTAAGAAGGAATTATAAAAATTTAATTAAATAACAGAAATATGTAAATAAATATAAAGGAAGGGAGAAGGAATCATAAAAATTTAAACAACAGAAATATATAAACAAATATAAAAGAAGTAAGAAGGAATTATAAAAATTTAATTAAATAACAGAAATATGTAAATAAATATAAAGGAAGGGAGAAGGAATCATAAAAATTTAAACAACAGAAATATATAAACAAATATAAAAGAATTTAAAAGAAATTATAAACATTTAATTAAACAACAAAAATATATAAACAAATATAAAAGAAATAAGGAGGAATTATAAAAATCTAATTAAACAACAGAAATATGTAAATAAATATAAAGGAAGAGAGAAGGAATGATTGAAAAAAACACAGAAATATATGAACAAATATAAAAGAAATGAGAAGAAATTATAAAAATTTAATTAAACAACAGAAATATATAAACATATAAAAAGGAATAATAAATAATAATCTTAGGATCTTAGTTTTATCTTTTAAATAATAAATAAATAATAATCTTATGGCTTGTAACATATCGTAGTAGGGAATGTTAATTTTAGGCTAGATTATATCATTTTCTAAAGAAGCCAACTATGTTGTTGGTCCTATAAAATCAGTTTTCACACTTCCCTCATTTCACCATCTTCTGAACCTTTGAATCATTTAAGAGAAGATTAACAAAATATTAAAAACTGTAATATAACTGTTTTTTTTTTTTTTTTTTTTTTTTTACCTGTTAGGATCATTTAAATCAAACTCCCTCCTCAAACTTTTGATACTTTCTCCAGCAGTCATCAATCTGTCGATTGATATCCTTTTCTCCCAGTAGTAGGAATAGAATAAATTAATTGAGAATCTTGGTACACTCCAGAAATTCACTTTTGCAAAAATCTATTACAATGATTACATAAAAAATAGCCCAGTAAGCAAGGTGAGGTGTCTAATTAAAAAAACTGAAAATTGTATTTTGTATTTATTTGCATATTTTATTTGTACATTTTTTAATTTGTATATGTTTTATTTGTACGTTTATTTTTCGTCTTCTTGTAACTGAGTATAACTTTCATTAATAAATAAATAGATGATATTGAAGTTAGAAGTTACAATTTGAAATTTAGAGGCAAAATGGGCTACTGTATTGATTTAAATTTTTTTTTGCCATTTTAAGACAAGTTTATAACTAATAAACTAGATTTAATGTCTAGGTGAATTATTTTGATTTTTATTATTTTAAATTTACGTTTTTATACTTCAAAATTAAAGAATTGATTGTACATAAAAAACGTAGCGCGCGAACACTGACAATATTGGAAGGTTCCTTTTGACATTTTAAGAGATATTGTACAAATTATATACACATAAGTTAATATTTCTACGTGCTAAAGTTTCGAATAATTAATTAATAAAACGCTCAATAAACTTAATTTCTCTCTGGACAATGTGTGGTAGAACGTCTTGGTAAATCTTGATTCTTTATTTTTAAAGTTTTTGAATGGAAATTTTAAAATCAACTTGTTATGAAATGTCAGTAAATATTGCCAATTGGTTTAATAACAACTGAAGGCTAAAACACCCAATGCCCTAAAAGACAATACAAATAAAAGCTAAATAATTGTTTACAAAAGTTTTACAAAGTGGCGATATACCGAAGGGTCTGGAGTTTAAATCTCAACAGCCCTGATTTCAAACAGAGAACTTTTGTGTTTTTTATTTATTTATCTTCTAAGCCCCCACTAGACCTGAGTTACAATTTACAATTATTTACATGATTATTTTAAAGATATTGCATAATTTACGGACTTTGATTTAACTTTTCACAGCTTTTTTGTTGATTTTGGGAACGAGGTCAGCCTCGTGCTGGCTATACTTACATTTTTAACTTTAAAGTGGTAAAAACTAACCACCTAGTTGAAAACAACCAGTATAAATTAACACTTAATGGATTTTCGAACTGTACTCTGGAAGAATAACATAATTGTGATTTTATAAGAACCTGGTTGTTTTTTGAGTGTGCAACAACCAAAATAATAATAAAAGAAAAAAGAAACCATATGTAGTTTGTTAATTGCAAATTGCTTTGGCCTATCCTTGCTGTTTTAGTCTATTGTATGCATTAATTCTTCTTGCTGTCTTCAATGAGTCGGGTTCTTTTTATAACTTCATGTAAAGCGGAAGGACTCAGCACTGAAGATAGTAGGAAGCCGAAACAATCAAAAACTGTTGCAAGTTTAAAATTGATGTTTCTAATTAAGAATAAGAACAAAAATAGGCAACTGCAATCAACTGTGTTACATCTTGCTGGGGAGGGGTTTTCTGTCAGACCTGGATGATCTGAAGGCGGCTCATCATACAGCGCATTCGCCATATCTCGACGATAGGGATGGGTGCTCGGTTATTCATCAAGCAGCAATATTCGGTGCTCGCCTTCCTTGGCTTATTGTCGGTTTCTTGTCCATTTCAAAGTGTATGAATATTCATGAAGGAGCCAAACTCAAAGCATCTACATATTCAAGAATCAACTGTACTGTGTGTATATCAACTGTAATCATTAATCAACACTGCTATTTATTTTTCAATAATAAATATTTCCTAACTTCATTAATTAAATGTATTAATGAAAAAACATCATAGCGTTGTTTCTGCCGGTTAAGAATGGATTGGCCGAGCATAACAGTCTTGTAGTTTCTCGATCTGTACCAAGCTGAACCAATAATTTGAACCGCTTCTCTTTCGAATCAGAAAAATCGAAAGTAAGATGGGGCAACAGCACTCTGTGACTGTAAGTTGTAGCTATACAAAACTGCATCTGCAGCTGCAGCAATGACAGTTTCACTGTTGTTCATCATGATTGGCAAATACGTATTTTTCTGAATCTGCAAACCCCCACAAATGTGCATAATTGGCACATTATTTAGCAAGGGCAAATCTTGACCCTTGGCAATTATTCGGCGGCAAGCGGAATTTGGTGAATACCACCTTGAGCTGTGTCTCAAATTGACTGGCATTATATTGTTATTTTTAAAACAGCCTAATTACGAATATCAGTGAGAAAAGGGTAGATCAATTTCATTGAGAATTTACAGTTAATCTATCAGTGATCGGATTTTAGACCATTTGTTTCTTTACATTTAAACATCTTTACCTTAATTAATCATTTTAATTATCTCCATTATACTAAAGTCTTAAAGGCGGATACTGCGGCATTCAAAACAGCTTCTTCAATTGCAACCATTCATGCTGTCTTTCTCCCCAAGCCAAGACTAAAATGTTCTTAACTACAACTACAACCCAAACCAAAAAAGCACGCCAAAAAATGCTAGAGAACTACCGGCAAAAAGACTACTCTCGATTTTCTTAAAAATTTTTGAAAGGCTTTTGTTCCCACATCTGCTTACATTGGTTGAAAATTCCAGAAACGAAGTATAACTTCAGACCTCAGTATTCTTCCCCACAGCAACTCCACCGTATTACCTGTAATATTCTTGTTGCTTTTGAGAATAAACAAATCTGTCTAGGGCTTTTTCTAGACAAGGAGAGGCCTTTGATAAGATATGGCATGGTGATATTATATATAAAATAAAGCCATTCGGATAGTTCAGAATAGTCAAATCTTACTTAAAAAGAAGAATGAGAAGAGGAATAAAAAAGAATTAACTGTATATTGTGGTACTGCATACTCTCAAATCATGATGGTTTTTCACAAGGAAGCATTCTAGGCACCTTTTTTTGTATCTTGTACATTCATCGGACTTCTCTAAATTGGATAATTTCATTACACTATCTGGCTGATGCTGAGACAATAGGATTATAGTGATATTATAATAAAAATAATATTGTTACATAAATAACTTGCAGTTGATGTTGCGGCCCTAAGCATTGGCCCAAGAAAATCTTCAACTGTCCTCTTGCAAAACTTCACTCTGAAATGGTCCAAATTGTGTAAAAAGTGGAAAATAAGAGCAGTTTAAAAAATAACATGAAAACTGATGAAAGCTAAATGCATGAATGTATGATTGACACTGTAAATTTTAATGTGAAGAAATGACTTATCTTCTTGCTTCAATGATGGGCTTTAATGGACCACAGTGGCAAAATTAGTTTTGTAATTTCAGCCTTCTATTTATGATGTCAAGTTATGTTAATTTATTGTGAGATTTGATGCCGAAGATAGGGGTTATAAACTCTTTGCCTGAAAATCTCTGATCATTCTTCTCATACTACTTTTGCGAGTTTTAACAGTAAGACTTGTTTCATCATTTCGCCACATAAAGAAATACAGACCATGACATACTACTTGAAATGCTTGACATACAAAACCAGCAAAAATATCAAAGATGATCAAGCCAAATTAAACTACTGCTTAAAAGTAATGAAGGCACAAAACATGTTTAAAATGTTGTAGCTACTGCCAGCCTGAAACTTATAGATCGGCTACCGGATATTTTGATCCAGAGAGTGGAAAATATGTCCGACCGGATTGGAAAGATGTTGACGGACATGAGTTCAAGTCATCGACAAATGTGGCACCGACAGATTTCACGCCTGTTCTGATCCCAGGGTCTATCTGGGAGGATGTCAAAACCGATCGTGCCCTTCAGCCGATGATGTGGGGGATGATCCCACCATGGCATCAGGTTTCGAAACCGCCATTCCATTTTCGCCGATCTGTATTCATTTTGATACATTTCAGGGTGATTATAAAACTCACGGCTTATCGACTAACAACTGTAGGATCGAGAATATTCGCAAATCAAAACTTTATTCGCCCAGTCTTAAGGGGAAAAGGTGCGTAATTATCTGTGATGGCTTTTACGAATGGATGTCGACCAAGGGTAGCAAGAAACAGCCTTATTTTGTGTACAGCCCACAACCAGAAGGGGTGTGTTTTTAAATTAAACAACATAAAAATAAAATCAGTCAAATATTTTTCTTATTCATCTCAGATAAAAGCTGAGGAAATCGCTTCTTGGGAAAATGGCACTTGGTGTGAAGAAAAAGGTTGGATTGGACCTAATATCTTAAAGATGGCTGGTCTTTTCAACGAGTGGCATTCACCTTCAGTAATTAAAATATAAAATTCATCGAATGTTCTATTAATACTGACATTTCCTTATTTTATTTTAAGGATGAAGTTATGTTCAGTTACACAGTGATAACAATGGAAGCGAATAAAACATTAAACTGGTTACACCATAGGATGCCCGCAATTCTTTCAAACGAGGAGCAAGTCTTGGTAATGACAGGCTTTAAAATAATAAAATCTGTTAATTGCTTCAATTATGCAGGGTGTCAGGCTACTCGTGTGACAAACTTTGCCAGTGAATTTCACACCTCAAATTTAACAAAAAAGTTCGTTTGAAACTTGGTCTGATTCTCAACCTTTTTGCAGATCTTCAATGTTTATATTTTTTTTCTTAATACATCTACTCATAATTCTTAAAATAGTAATTTTTGGGGAAATTAAAAGTCTATTAAATTTCCTTTAAGGTATCCTTGAACTTTTAAGTTAATTTTTGGTTTAAAAAAAAAAAAAAAAAAAAAAACCAATTTAACTAAATCTTTCAAAACTAGTAAATTTGTAAAAAAAAATTTAAAAAAATAAATATGTAACCCCACGGCAAAAATTCACAGTAGAGCGCTAGGCAATTTCATGACTTCGTTTAATAAGCTTTCTAGCGGTATACACTTTTCTTTAATTACATCGAACCAAAATAAAGAAATTTTTGTAATGCTAAATAAGAAAAAGTAACAGGTGTTAAAATTCAACTTTTTGTCCTGAGCAAAATCATTTAACAACTTTAACTTAATAAAAAAGCCCAAAAAGAAATAAAAATGAAACAAAACATTAAAACATAAAAACGAGACAATAAACCAAGTGAACAACCAAAGCAGAAAAATTGGGCAAAATATCTACACTAAACACAGATAAAAAATAAATTAATTAATAAATGGAACAACAATATAGAAGTTGTAAAACCTAATTAAAAAATAAAAACAAAATATCAACGTAATTTGGTTGTTCACTGAGTTTATTGCCTCTTTTTTATGGGTTCTGTTTTAATTTTACTCCTTTTTTTGTGCATAATACTGTAGATAGATGAAATAAAATAAAATAAGACAAACATTTTGAGTGAGTAGAAATACTTTGATTGAATATAAAAAATATATTTTGCATTGTATAAATTCACTTTTCCACATCCTAAATGTATTTGTTAAATGTAAACAATGTTTGTAAATCCCAGGCCCTGAAGATGATTTCAATAAAGATCGAAACGTTGGCACGATAAAGAAAATGTTTTTCTGAAACCACACATAAAATAAAATAAAACTGAATATCTGCAAAAGTTGAGAATCAGGCCATGTTTCGTACCAATTTTTTTTTTTGTATTTGAAGTGTGAAATTCACCGACAACGTTTGTAACCCTGTCATTTGTAATGTTTAATATTTCTTGCTTGTAATGTATCAAAAAAATAACGTTAACATATTTTTCAGGGATGGCTAGACGTTGAGGGTACCGAAGTTGTTGATGCTCTGGAACTTTTGACTCCTGTGGAGAAAATAAGCTACCATCCTGTATCAACAATTGTCAACAATTCGCGCAATAAAGATACAAGTTGTAATAAACCATTTGATATAAAAAAGTAAACTTTTAGTTTATTATTTGATAATTATTAAATTATTTTATCATATCTGACTCTCGAATTTTTCAGCGTGGATAACAAGAGTAGTAGTTTTATGCAGGCTTGGTTGGGCAAAGGAAAAAAAGAAAGTTCAACCTCGAGTTCAGAATCAACTCCAAATAAAAAAATAAAGCTAGGTTGAGATATAGTTTGTTGTTTATTTCTGTATATATGTTTGGGTTAGGATTTTGTATATATGTCTAATGAAAGAAACATAGTACATTTCTGTAATTGTGTTTGTTAATATAATTTAAAATAAACAATGCCATCTGTTTTTTTTGAATTCTTTGTTTCTTTATTAGGTTCTAACATTTGTACCTTTTTTTCCTTTTTGTGATATTCTAGTTGTAAACAAATTAAAATAATTTCTTTCCAAAATGTTGCCTATACTCAACCAACCCGATCTGAAAGAGGTGGCAAAAATAGAGAGATACAAGATGGTCGAAAATGAAAGGCGGAAAAGAATATTTAACGCTAAGCAGAGGCAGATCGGAGTCGACTTTGACACCCTTCAGTACCAGATTCAGGAAAAGAAAGAACGTGAAAAGGCAGAGAAAATTGAGGAAATGAAATACTTAGAGAAGCAGAAGTTAGACGGACATGTTTTAGAACAGCTAGTGAAGAGGGAGGCTGAGGAGAAAAGGAGAGTCGGCCAACAAATTGATGAATATAGGAAGAGGTATCAAAAGTTCGAGGACAGGAGGGAGTTTGATTTAAACGATCCTAACAGGTTAAAAAAAATGAGTATAATGTATGTTCACGGGTTTTAATATTTTTTTAAATTTTAGGTTTAAAAAAGATATTTTTGAGCCAGACATTAATGATCCTCGATTTGGGATATCTTCACTTAAGAGATTTGAAGGTTCAGAAGACGGTGAAACGAGTGAAATAAGAAAACGTATTTTACAGGACCAACAACAAAGTTGGCTTCTTCAACAAATGCTGGAAAAGGAAAAGGCGAAGAGAGATATGAAACTGGCCGACCAGATTTACGAAGAGGCCATGAAAGCGAGAGACGATAGATTTTTCGCCATGAAGACGATGGAAGACGAATGTAAAAGGAAATTAGAAATCGCTACAAAAGAGTACAACAAAGCCATGGCGGTCAAGAAGCTAAGAGACGAGATTGAAGAAATGCGTATAAACATGGAAGACGAATATACTCATAAGATAAATCAAATCTCCAGCGATTTTTTGAGCGAGACAAAAGACTCGAGAAGCGCGCTTAATCCGAATCGCCCGGTCACGACAATGTTCAAAGGTCTATCGGATGATAAGTTAAAGGAAATCAGACGAGCTCAATTGAAGCAGATCGAAGAGAAAAAAGCGATAAAACGCGCTGAAGAGTTGGAAGAACATTATTACTACACGTATCAAGAACAGATACAAAAGTCACTGCAAATCGCTGATGCTATACAAGGCAAAAAGGAGATTAAAAACGGCGAAGAGCTCAGACTGGAAAATAAGAGGCTTATGGAGGAACACAAAGCTAAGTTGAACTATTTGAACAACGTTGTCTATACAAACAGACCATCACCAGAGTATTTCGATCAATTCAACACTTCAACAAGATAGGTCAGAAAATTCTACGATGATGACGATAAATCATTCAAGCAGGTCAGAAAATTGTATGATGATGTCGCTAAATCATTCTAGCTTTTAGTTTATTCAACACAAATAAATAGAACCATACTAATTAAATATTATTCCTGATATTCATAAGGGTAATTACTTGTTAAAGGGGTCAGACATCTTTAGAATAATTTATAAGTTTATCAATCAAAATTTAAAGAATACAAAACTGCCAAATGTGTCCTATAAATCCCTGAGTTTCTTTGCAATAAGCATAACTCCAAGAGAGGAGCATTTCTTGAATTGGCAAGAATGACTGAACCATTTTGACCAGCCTCGAAGTTAATGATAAAAAAAAATTATAAAATATCTAGCAAATAATAAAATCTGTGACCTTTTTTAAAAAAAAGTCCAGGTCTCTAATCTATCTTTCAATTTAGTTCATGGAACAACCCATTCTGAATGATGATACAAGGATGTGGACTTTTTATTCCCTACGCACTGCAGTCTCTGGCTTATTGGACTTGTCTAGTTCCTTAGTTCGGTGCAATTGACTCGATCCTTCTCCTAAGGAGTACTAGGACTGCTGTTGCTACAATTCCTTTCGCTGGGTTTTCTTTGTATCACAGGTTTTTTCTCTAATGAGCGACTGCTTTGCATTTGAAAATGGTATGGGTGGCTGTTTCTTCTTCATTGAATAACTTACATCCTTACTACCATCTAAAGATGGGCAAAGCAGAGAACATGCCGATTTTGTCAGGAGGAACCAGACATCAGAACATAATATCGTTTTATGTTTACGGTACAGCCACTTTGGCAAGGCAATTCTCACACAGTAAAAGGTGCATGAAGAAGATATTGCTGAGGTTTATAGGAAAAAGTGCACTTTCAAGGCTATTATAATTTATTGGGGTTCGACAATCCAATGCAAAAAATGTCACAAAAGGGCTCAGGGCCAATAGGTGACATAAAACTTTCCTTGGCCAATTTATTAGCATGTTGTTCGTCCCTCTGCCCTGGAAATGGTGGTGACACGCAAGAATGGCACAATTATGCAGAAAACTAACTAACACTTTGTGAGTACAAATTCTTTGATTTTGTTGTTTTTTCCAATGTATGACAGGGCCCTAAAGTAATCGTAAACAAATAATCCTTTTCCTATTTATCCCCGTCTATATAATCCTGAAAGGATAATCTGGCTGAACCATTACCAACGTTTTTTCCCATCGATGGCCCTTTTCACCTCAAAGAAGCTGACTCCTTATACAAAAATGTCTACCGACTTCCTCCCAACCCCTTCAAAATCCAACGTATATAAACATAAAACAGCAATATCTCACTGACACTCTCAACACGACACGCAAGAATGGCACAATTATGCAGAAAACTAACTAACACTTTGAGTGAGTACAAATTCTTTGTACTCACTCAAAGTGTTATGGGGGACCGCGATAGCCGAGTGGTTAGCATGAGAGACTCTCACACCGCGGTCGTGGGTTCGATTCCCACCGTCGCCTCTGGCCCTTTTTTCCCGATAACCCCCAATTTGAACAACATATGTAAGAATTCGTCATGGCTAATATGCAAAGATCATAAGGCCAAAAAAAAAATTCTTTGATTGAGTACAATGTTTGTAAATCCCAGGCCCTGAAGATGATCTCAATAAAGATTGAAACGTTGGCACGATAAAGAAAATGTTTTTCTGAAACCTACATCACACCAGACCGCATCTCATGATTTCTGAATAAAACTAAACAAATGGACTTTACCAATGATGCGGTAATTTGCCTTCCGTGCCACCTGGCTATCTGAGTAGATGGCTAATTTTCTGTTAACCTATAATCTCCTCGGCACAGTGTTCAATAGACACTAGCTTAATAAAGAAAGTGGCATTTTGACCAAGACTTATATGAATTTTAGTACTTGGTTTCATAAATACCATCTCCTTACCTGTACTCAATTTTGGAGCCCCTTACCTGTACTCAATTTTGGAGCCATCTGCATACCAGATATGGGATCCCTTTTTCCAGTCTGCTATACAAGGTATTTTGATTTGAAAATTTTCACCAAATCTGAATTTCCCATTTTGCATGAGAAAATAAATAAATAAAAATACTAGGTCATTATTGGGCTTTATAAAATTGATATTTTGCATCTCTAGATGCAGGTACAAATTTCAAATTCACAAAAACAAAAGACAATCCGTTCAATTAATTTATGGTATATGCACATAAAAATACCATAAACAAATTAACAACTAAAATTTAATCAGCCACTTTTATCTTTATACCACGTGTATTAACTGTGTTTTAATTTTACTAATATTGTTAAAGGTTGGAAAAAAAATAAAATAAAAAATAACAAGATTTATTTAAAAAATATGAATTTAACAACTGTGAAAAATATTTTAATTCTATTCAATATTTACCAATCTTCATCGCTCGAAGTGTCATCCATTTCAAAAAGTTTGTCTACACTCATCATATCTGACATCCAATGTGCGCCGTTTTGGAAGTGATCGCTGAAATCCGGCACAAGTTTGGCGTCGGGCTTATCATTGAGAAATTTCTTTATGAAATCCTTGCTCATTATTTTTTCCAACATTATCACTGGGGAAAAAAAATAAAAAGATGTAATTCGAAACTTAACTCTAACAAGAAATACAATCTATTACCTTCGTTCTCAGTTAGGACGAAATCGGCCTGAAAATTTGTATTTTTATGCATTTGATGCACAAGTTTAACGTACTCGGCACACATGTAAAGCCGGTTTTTGATGTGACTTGTGAAAAGATCGTCATTCTCGATGAGGAAGTGCAGAACGTGCAATGCCAGCATTACAACTTCTTTTAGCATAAGTTCCTTCGACTTTCGACTATCATTTTTCACTGAAACATAATCCATAAATAATTTGAACCATTTGATTATTGATTTTTCTATTTATTTTAAGGTAATTAGAAAAAACAGACTCATTAATTTAAACATAAATAAATATTACAAGTATTTTATGCAATTTAATCAGGATTCCACATGAAAAAAAATATTTTAATAAATAATAAAAACTCACATACTAAATGTGGAAGTATTGTATCAATGTGTGCCATAATCCCCCCCCCCAAAAAAAAATGGATAGAATATGTTTATGCATATAAAGTTCTGAAATTATTAATTAATAAATATATTACTTATATATAACAGATTTATTATTACTTATACTCAGTGCTCGATATTCTTGAACCGCATTGAAGAAAATATTAAGTGAAGTATTGATCAAAGCAGTCAAACAGGTGCATCTTCTCTGTCCCCCAGATTCCTGGTTGCACCATGTTTTGCCCGCCTCGTCCATGCAGAAAACATAATGCGACCAACGGGACAGGTACACGGATGTGTTCCAGTTCGTAAACTCATCTATGGTCGTGTCAACTATGAGACACAAGACTTCTAAGAGGCAGGCACCTGAAATTTAAAAATGACTATGAGTTAGTTTAAAATTGAACCTTGTTGAAGATCATACCTCTGATCCACGATTTGTTGTCCTCGTCTGCGCAAAATGTCCGGGGATCTAATAATTTTAAAAAAATTATTGAAAAATTTATTTATTAAAGTAATCACGTTAAGATAAATTACCAGCGTTATGGCATAACATCTTAGAAAAGCCTTTTATAATCACGGCATGAGTTAGAAAACTGTTAATATGGCATACGACCATTGGAGACGGCCTCGTATAAAGAACTTCCCGTACCACTGTTATAATTTTGTTCAGGCTGAAAATACCACAGTTTAAAATCAATTTAAGACAAAAATTATTCGGAGATCGTGAGATGCGGTCTGGTGTGATGTAGGTTTTAGAAAAACATTTTCTTTATTGTGCCAACGTTTCGATCTTTATTGAGATCATCTTCAGGGCCTGGGATTTATAAACATTGTTTAAATTACAATTAATTAAGGTTTTTAGTTGAGGTGAAAAAAAGTTAATGGCACAAGCAGGATTCGAACCCATGATCTTCGGCTAGATACGCCGCTGCTCTACCACTTGAGCTATCGTGACCTCGATCTACTCGGATAGCCGAAGGTCGTGGGTTCGAATCCCGCTCGTGCCATTAACATTAACTCCTATCTCAACCCAATAAACTATAAATTCATTTTTTTAAACCAAAAATTTCTAGCATTTTATAAATTAATTCCTTTTTTTAAATTTGCTAGCATTGTATAAATTCATTTTTTTTAACCAAAAATTTCTAGCAATGTATAAATTCATTCCCTTTTTTAAATTTTCAAGCATTGTATAAATTCATTCCTTTTTTAAATTTTCAAGCATTGTATAAATTCAATCATTTTTTAAAATTTTCAAGCATTGTATAAATTCAATCATTTTTTTAAATTTTCAAGCATTGTATAAATTCATTTTTTTAACCAAAATTTTCTAGCATTGTATAAATTCATTTTTTTAATTTCAAAATTTTCTAGCTTGTATAAATTCATTTTTTTTTATATCAAAATTTTCTAGCATTGTATAAATTCAATAAATTCAATTTTTTTCACATCCTACATGTATTTGTAAAATGCAAACAATGTGTATAAATCCCAGGCCCTGAAGATGATCTCAATAAAGATCAAAACATTGGCACGATAAAGAAAATGTTTTTCTAAAACCCATGTCACACCAGATCGCATCTCACGATCTTGGAATAGTCATTGACTAACTGTCACTAAACACCACACATTAAGACAAAAAGTAAAACAAAGCCTTACTGTGGTAATGCCTCATCCTTCTGATACTGCACAATGTACTGAAGCATTATTATTATCGATATCATGAGTGCGTTTAACCTCGGTGTGAATCTCTATAAAAGTTTTATTATTAAATCCAACTGGTAGGGATTACGAGGAAGCTGATTTGTAAATGTTATCGTTTACCATTGTTCCGGTGTCTTTGCAAATTTCGCAGAGCAACTCGAGGAGGCCGGCATGTTTCATCTTCTTCATCCAGTTTTCCACCAAATCCGATATGTATTCAATGTCTGGCCTGGGTGTTTCCATGATTTTCAATCTTTCTCGAAAGTCCCTATAAACATTACCACACTTTTTTTTAGCATTTTACTTTAATTGAAACATTTTAATTGTGAATTAATTACATTGGTTCGACCTCTTCTGAACCGTGCGGTTCTGTTTTATCATCAACTACCTCACTTTGATTATCGCTGTCTTCTGCCTCGTTTACAGAGTTAAGGCTGAACTCTTGTGAATTGTGATCTTCCATCATGAATTTTTTTTTAAGGTAATAATCATTCACCTTTTTCAGGATTTCCTGTTAAAACATTTGTTTTAAATTATTATTATTATTATTAAAATATTAAATCAAAATAAATTTAAATACTGGGTTTATGTCTATTCCATCTGTCGGGTCGTCTTCTTCTATTTTTATTCTGTTTTTATGGATAGGATCGTTTGTTTCAATAGTCACTGATCCTGATCTGAATCGTAATATAATCTGTTATAGTATCTTAGGTATAATCACAAAAATTACCAAATAAAAAAAAAACTTACGTTTCATTTTGTGAAACGTCGGACGGTGCAGGTTTTATAAAAGAGGAACCTTTTTTTAACAGGTTTCTGTCAAATTGAAATAATTTAGTTCAAGATTTAAACTGAGTGATGTAAACTAACCTTGATTCTGCTTTGGCAGCGGATGATGTTGAAGGGAGTGATACCCTCTGTAACATATTTTTACCTCTGCTTTCGGGCAACTTTTTGACGTCCAGAGCCTTACTTTCTTCCGATTTGTTTAAATTTAAGCCCACACAGGCATCGAGGCTCTTAAAAAATAAAAATAAAAAATAAATAAATAAAAAGACCTTTGGGCTAAAATAAGACATAATGTACAAACCTCGCCCAATACTTCCAACTCGTGTCTCCTGCAATTAAAATAATAATTATAAAATAAATAAATATAATAATTAATTTTAAGTAATAAAAGGTTTATAAAATTGAGACCTACTTTGACTTCAGAGCTTCTATTTTCTCTTTGGCTTTTCGTTTCCGAACTTCTTTCAAATTATCCTAATTTTTCAAAATACAAATTATTTTATAAAATCCATAAATTTAACCGTCGTAACTGATCATATTAATTGAAATTTTACAAAATGTACAAAATATTGAAATCAATAATTTACCTCATCTTTTTTGTCATTTTCCTTTTTACAGCTGAAATAAAAAATATACGCATTTATAAAAAGAAAAATGAGTACTTGCCAAGATTTTACTTACAGGCCTGAATAATCTATGCTCTCCGGGATGTCGGCTGCTTCGTATATCTACAAATACAATTATTTATATAAATTTTTCAAAATTATTATATACTTTAAAATGGCTCACTTTGATTTTGCCTGTTATTTGGTTGATGTGGTCGATGATCATCTTCATTGTTATCTTCTCGTCCTCAGATATGCAAGTGTCTGATCTGGAGGGAAAAAAATATCAATGTTTATAAATTAATTATAAATTAAAAATGGATAGGACAATCACACTTACGGCCCCAAGTTCAATCCAATATTTCTGCTGGATACATCCAATTCAGCATTTACCGCTCTGCTCTAAACACAATTTTTAAAAAAGATTTAAAATAATTAAAAAATTTTGGAGTAAAAAAAGGTCAACTTACAACTTCACTTCTATCTTTAGAAATAATAGCTTTATGCAGACTGAAAATAAAAAAAATATTAAACAATAATATTAACAACAATTTTTTATGAAATTAGCCATTTACTTTTCATGTTTAGTAAGCCTTTTTTGTGAAGTTGGCCCTGGTGGTATTTTAGTCCTGTTAGATTTTGTTAAACTGTTCAGCCTAGAACTCTAAGAAAAAATTAAAATTTTACCTACAAATTTCGTTTTCTCAGGTACCGAACATACCAAAGTGCCTTCCAAGTAGGTTGGTTCTCGATCGAAATCACTCTGGGTAGTTTGTATATTCATCTTCTGTGGTACCTGCGTGTCCATATCGACATTTGAACAATTCGCGTTAATGCTCTCAAGGTTCAAAACAAGTTCCAACTCTTTATCTGCCGTGTATAACCCTTCTTTGATCAGTTTTTCTCTCATCTTTTGGATCTCTTCTTCCTATAAAATTTAAATAATTGAACAAAAAAAAAATCATTACATTAAAAATAAAATCAGTAAACGTCTTACAGTGCTGAGAAAAGGCAAGGTTTTCTTCTCAACCTGGATGTATTTATCACAAGGTTCTGGTGAAGGGCTTGAATCGTCGTCCATTTCAGCTTTCGCCAGCATAATCTCGAAATTCAGTTCAAGCTTCTCTGCCAGCTCAACGCTATTCCTAGACAGAAAAGTTTGTAAAAATTAAAAACAAGCGGTAAAATAAAATCTCACCTTTCGGCCTTGTCATCTTGATCTTCTTCCTGCATAATGTCCTCGTCGGAATCACTACACCGGCCTGATAAGACATCAGTCATTGATTTCTGAAATATTAAGAAAACAAATATATATGCTGAACTCTGAAATAATTAATTGTATTTGACTTTTAATTGAATCATGAAAAAAAAAAACATTCTTGAGATTTCACAAGGTTTTATTTTATTTTAAATATTTGATCTTGAAGACTACACTATATTTCTTACTATACAAGACAAATAAATCTGGATTGTAGAAAAAAAATCTGTTTTTTCCTCTTCATTGTGAAGATGGCACCTGGTCCAGTTGGTCTAAGTCCAGACTCCTCCATAAAACCCAGGACCTAAGTAACACTCATATTCTACTACTGGCCTTTTCATTCACACTAATAAATTCATTCACCCTCAATATACACAAAATTAGATACCTATCAGTACCATACACAATATAACAACCATGTTTCCTCCAAAAATCAGAACAGGAGACCCAAATATTCGCTGCTTAATCATAATTCTCATGTCGGGTAGCAACATAGCCGAGAAGTAGGTCACAGTAAGTAACTTACGCAGGCTTTGGCCTAGAAATAAGCATCTGTGTGCCAACCTTACTAGGCTTATTCTTAATCAGTAGAATGATCCTTCTCGGATCGTCGAAGGGCCATCAGGCCAAGTGCTATTGATATGTAGTTGTTTCTCTGCCGATCTGGCCTACTGACACAGCCATGTCCTTTTAATCATATTTGTTAATTGTATTTTTAATGCCTTGAATGACCTCAGGGATCTTAAGATTTTTATGTAAGTCCTTATCCCTTAAGTACCAAAGTGCATTGGCCATGTTTTGTAAGATTTTATTTTTGAATATGTGTATAATTTTAATATTGCTGTGTTTGGTTCAACCCCATAGTTGAATATGTCACATATGCTTTAGGACTTGTTTGTTTAATATTTTATTTTGTATAGTAAGGTTGGAGCCACGAACTATAAACCGATATAGTTGTCCTGTATAGTTGAACCTATTTCCGTCCTTGTTTTCTTCCAGATGATTTAGCTGTATTGCTCTAAGGTATAATCCATCGATTGTGGGAACATGGTCCAATTTTTGTTTGTGAAGTTTATATGTACTGATTTATTCAGACTGAGCTTGATTATCCATTTTTTAGTCCATTTTTTTATCTTATTACAAGTCTTTTGTAGGATTTTGGTTGAATTGTAGGTGATCGGTTGTATTGATGTAAGTTAAATATGCTTTTTTATTATCCACCATTTCACTTAGCAGTACTACTGCTGAGTGGACAGAAGTTAGATCAAAGTTTTTTGCTATGTTAATGAAGTTAGGAGAAACTTTTTTTGGTAGTAAAAAAGTCTAAGATATCAGGTATTTTGTTGCAGTCTGTTGGCCATTAAGTTGGTTTCCTGTAGAATGGCAGATGCACTCTAGTGTAGCTTTTTTAGTTTGCGGCCTTTGGTGTTCGTCAGTCTGGATCCCCAGTCGACAAGTTTAGTGTTGAAATCTCCTACTATGAACCATTTACCTAGGCACTGTAGGAGGCTCGAGTATTCTGAATACTTTAGACTGTGCTTTGACATGCAATATGCAGTGCATTTTATGTTTGACAGAGTAAATTATGACCATGGTGAGTTGGATCTCTTGAAGAGAACGATCTTCAAAGTGTTGTATGTTGTCCTTTATGATGATTTAAAGCTAAAATAATAATAAAATATGTTTTCAGTGGCATCTTTGTGTTAGGAAACTTAGGAGTGGTACTTCCTTTTTAAAAAAGTGTGTGGTGATTAGTGTCCATTAGTTAATGATTATTCGGAGATCGTGAGATGCGGTCTGGTGTGACATGTTTTAGAAAAATATTTTCTTTATCGTGCCAATGTTTCGATCTTTATTGAGATCATCTTCAGGGCTCAAAGAGTTTGTTTTCTGCGTAATTGTGCCATTCTTGTGTATCGTGTTGAGAGTTTTTAAAAAAGGGATATGATTATGCCAAATTGTAGACCAATAACCAAATAGCCTGTTGGCAAAAATCTTTAAGAAAATTCTAAAACCACAATTTTTGGACCAAATGAAATAATTTGTTGGACAAAAATCAGTATAATTTTTGTAAAAATAGAAGTACACAAGATGCTGTACTGAATTTTGAGCATATTCAGTCGGTTTCAGTCAGTCTGTTTCAGACCTTTGTCATTGGTCGTCGACAAATGGTGCACATCAGAGGACAAACTTCTAATCTAAAAAATGTAAAAATTGGTGAATGACAGGGCTCAATCTGGGGTCTGATTCAGTATTTGATTTATACAAATGACATTTTAACCAGATTTCCGGAACTCCCAGAACAGAGTACACAGACTATTACAATCCACTAAAGTAGATAATTTGGGAAATGTTTCAGAAACTAATAAAAGTTCTATTGAATGGATGGATGATTGCTTCACTGCGAAAGGGTTACATCTTAACCAAGATAATAGAGACACTTGCTCTGTGCCTTCGTAATCTGTCTAGGATCTTGACAATCTGGGTGTTGTTGATCTAGGAATAAGAGTTGATCCTCTCCTGAATCCTGATCATTGTAGGAGACCAGTCAAGAGCCTTAACTCTAATATATATCTATTGCATGGTCTCATGAGTCAGATTTCCCTAAAAGTAATTAAAAGTGTTTTTGCATTTATTCAAGCATAATGAAGCATAAGTGGTCTGGGGACAATGAGCATCTGCTAAAGATGTCTTTCCATTGCAAAGAAGAGCATTCGGGTCATTGTCAATCTTGGGTATTAAGAAAATTGTAAACAAAGTTGAAAGGCTTTTCACCCGATCTTTAATTGTTGAGTAATTTACATAAAAATATGAATAAATTTAGCACGGTAAATAATGTAAATAAATATTCTAATAGTAACACTTTAAAATTATATGTTTCGTATATTAGGTTGAAAAAAAAGTCAGAGAATTGTACAAATTACTGGATTCCCAAACTTGACAATTGTTTGCCCAAAACTTTCAAGTACTTGTCTTTTAATACGTTTAAAAAATTTACCTGGTACCACAGGCTTTTATGCTTTTTAATGAATTTTGTGAATTTGATTTTTAAACTGTAATGTTAATTATATATAAAATATTTTATGTAAATATTTTGACTCTGTAATACCAAAAACTCGCACAATAAATGCTATTTATTCTATGAAAATATAAACATTTTTTAACAAATTAATAAAAAATCATTTTAATTTTGCCTATTAATAAACATATAATTTTGGGTGCGACTACTCTAATTTTACTAGCCCTTACCTGGGTTTGAAGTGTGTATATTTCATCCATATCCATCCTAAATGATCTATTTGAAATCCCTTCCGAGTCAACGAGGCTGATAGACGGCTTTTGTTCAACATGCAATTGTGACTTTCTACTCTTTTTCCCTCTCGAGATTTTTCTTTCCAGCTTAAAACCTCTGGAAATTTTTTTTTCATTAAATCATCAACTCATGTGTTGAAGCGTTTTGTGGCTTACTTGGGTTGTAGAACAAATCTGGTCAGGTCGGCGTTGCAAGCACAAAGGACTCCGACAAGGGTAACTCCTCTGCGTAGTTCAACATAACATTCATCCTTCCATTTTCTATAAATAGACGAAGAAACAGAATCAAGGGTATTGATGTAAATCAAATAAAATCTTTCTCTCACTTGGAAGAAAAAGGATAAAAGGTCTCATCAAGTTCACTTGTGTCATAACACTGCTCTATAACTTCAGGCTCTCTATCTGGAAGTGTGAACTCTTCTTTTCGGAATCTGACATCACCTAAAGTGGCATACAATTCCCGGGCCATTTCTGTTACCAAATCAACTATCTAAAAGAGAAAGGAAACCACTTGGAAAATTTGTTCGCAAGTGAATTTTTTAAAAATATTATACCTCTTTCGCCAATAGAAATTCCTTTCTCTGCCAAATTGGTGTTTTTTCCAACAAAAGCAGGTTCATTTGGACGGGTTCGAGAGTCGAAAAAAATCTGCTTTTTCCCAGAACGACTTTGGACACATCTGGATCCACTGATTTACCGATTTCGGTCTTTTCGTATTCTGACAGTTTAACCGGGCCGAATTCGTTGTAGTTGGTATCCCACAGGTCGACTAGAGTGGGACGCCTAAAGTGATAATTTTCCATCACTTTGTCGGACAAATCTAAAACATAAATAAAGGTCCATAAATAATTGGTAATTATTGTTAAGTAAAATAATGAGTATGAAGGTTCAGAAAAGTACTAAAACTTTTTGGGAAAAATCCCGAGATACATAAATTTTTATATTTTGTCTAGTATTACATGGGACAAAAAGTTCTGATCAAACTCTCCAAGGTAGCAAGATATGAATAAAGGCTTAAGACTAATTAAAAAGCAAAATACTCATCAATGAAGATTTTTCATTGTTTTTTGAGGGAAAATTCAATGGTGCAAACGGTTTTTGATTTGAAACAATGTTCTCAAGTTATTCACAAAAACGATTTCCCAACTTTTTTTTTCTAAATTATTTTCAAATAAGAATCAATTTATATATGTTTTAAACAGCATGGATGATTATATGGGTGAGACATTGAGGAAAGAGTTAGGGCTAGTGGTTAGAGTGGAAATTGAAGAAGCATGTCATCTTTCATGAATGGGATTTTAAGATTTTTATGGATCGTTTGATTGGAGACTTAGAAGGGAGCATTGAGGTGGAGAACTTTAGACTGAAAGGATTGAATTTGTTGGATGTTGGATGATTTGACCGAGCCCCACAGTTCAAGAAGGTCTGATGAGTGTTTTGTAAGCAGAAGTTTGCTATGTATGCTTGGTGTTTTGATCCAAGTAGGTGTCTGGGTGGTCCTTATCTTTTGATAAGTTCTTGAAATTTTAATCTTGTGGGTTCCATGTAAGTCTGCTATCTTTTCCCAAGGTAGTGGACTTGGTTTGATGATGGTATTATCTTGTCGTTAATTGCAGATTACACCAGTCGGTAATGAGGTACAGATGTTGGATTGCTTCTGTGGCTAGGAAAGGATTGGAGTATGTTGATAGGATTACGGTGTTGTCCTCATAGATTATGAATTGTGTGGGTATGTCTGCAGTGTAGATGGTGTAGAGGATTGGGCCTAAAATACTTGCTTCTGGAACACCAGATTTTATTGACATGAGATGTGAAAAATTGGTGCAATTCTCACATTAAACCATCTATCTCAGAGGAAGGACCTCAGAATAACATAATAGGTATGAGGGAGAATACGTTTTAATTTATAAATTCAAATGCTTCCATAACATCCAGAAATTCGGCTGAGCAGTATTGTTTGTTTTCTAGAGCCAAGAATATCATGTGGACAACTCTGAAGCACTGCTGAACAATAGAATGGAGAGTTGAGAATCAAAATTGATAGAAGAGAATTAAGTTTTTAGAGTACAATATGGAAATTGGTCTTCTAAGAAGGAGACGTTCAAAGATTTTGGATAAAATAGGAAGGAGGATTATTGGTAAACAATTGATAATAAATAAATTTTTTCACATGTTTCTAAACTTCACAGCTATTTTCTCAAATAACATTCTGGATATTACTCAGTAAAGTGTGACGGCCTGGTGCAAATTTTGATCCACTTTTCCCAACAACAGAATTATTTTCTTGAAATAAAGGAGACATTTTTTCGATATGCAAAGAAAGTAAATAATTTAATTACTATTCACCGTAAGTAATAAACCTCTGGACGGCAGTAATGGGAATCATTCTGAATTTTGGGAGACACCGGCCAGTCAGTTCTCCAGGTCTACCCCAGAATAACTCACCTACTGGACGCTCCATTTGAATCGGGATTGGCGAAATATTTCAATTGCGAAAAGTCCCTCATTTTCCATAGATGCAGGGGCTCCTTATATTTGTTACTTAATTGTGGAACAAAACCACATACAGATATGATAATTATTATATAGGAATTGGAACAATAGTAATTATTAATTATATTGGTACTATATATAATTTTTTTCTTTTTTTTTTAAGGTATGCCTGAAATTTCTAAAGCAGGAATATCACAGATTTTCATAGCCTTTTGACAATGGTGGCTTAGTACCACTCTACATACAATTTTTCCATAGGCAATAAAATGGAGCATTGGCATTAAGGTGCAGTCTGGTGGATTTTGTAATGATGGATTAACCAACCAGACTGATCCAACCAAAATTACATGATTTTCCCATTCACTTTGCGATTTTGGCTTCATGTCATTCCATTTGGTTGTTTGGAGCGACAGTGAATGACGGCCTTTAAAACTGCTCTTGTCAGCACAGGTTGTCATGGGATCCTTATTATTTAATTTGCCCAACTCAAATGTGACAAAGATTTATATTTCCTCTGAATTACGCGTCCTACATTACGTTTTTGTTTTAAGATAAATTAGATTATTTTCAAATTTGTTTGTTGAATGTTTAAAAAGAGTTTGGTTTTTATTTACCAGCATGCGTCAGGATTGATGGGACGTAGTCGGTTCTTGGCATAGTGAAGTGGTTGAACTCAACCGAAGGCTGCTGTGTTAGCTCCTCGGTGAGGAAGATTCTTAGTTTCTTCCCTGTATCAAACCTGCCCAATTCCTGAAAGAACTCTCTGCCTTGAGGGCCGACTTTCAACTCTTCCATCATCGCGATCAGATCTTCTCTGTACGGATCGTCTTCATCGGGAGTAAATTTTATTTTCTAGGGAAGTCGGAAAGAATCAGATGAGTTGAAATTGTGTTTTGGTGAATATGAAATACCTTTTGTATTTTCCCATTTAGAAAATCATTCCAGCGCCCTTTAGCAATCATTTGATACATATCTAGACTTCTTCCAACAATTTTACCATTTTTAATTTGAGTTATTCTTGAAAAACAAATAAATTGATTAAAAGAATAATGTATAGAATATTATATATAAAAAATAGGTTAACTAACAATTGTTTATAATCTTCAGTGCTGTAGTATGGCTCAATCTCAAAATCACTTTCTTCCACTTTTAAGGCATCTTCTTTTTCTACATTAGCCTCTATCTCATCTATTGTTTCATTTATAATTTCATTATTACTGATTGTATTCAAATTTTTTACACCTCCAAAATTGATAGCCTCTAATGCCTTCGTCTAAAATGGAAATGCATGTTTATAGGAAGAAACGAGTTTAAAAAAATATATATTTGGCACCTTGAATAACATCTGCGTTTTCGTCATTTCCAACTGTCTTTCTATTTGTTTGACTTTTCCTTCCATCTCTTTTTTAACAATGTCCACGCTTTTAAGCTTCTCCTCTTTATGCTTTTCGATCTCTGCCTGAGCTGATTTCAGGTTTTCACGAAGCAGTTTAGTCTGTGGAAAAAGTAGAAGTTTGTGTATATTCATGACATATTATAGTTTTTGTGATTAACATACCTCGCCCTCTTTAGTTTGCAGTTCTTCTTTCAATGTTTTATAATCTTTGCTAACTTTTTCTAGTTGACTTCTCAACCATTCTGTTGTAAAGGCTAAAATAAAAAAAATAGAATAAGGTAAATAATCTACTAAATTAAACATTCAGAAAGACTCACATTGGCTACTAGCGGAAGGTAAACTTTTAGTAGGTTTTTCCAGTTTTCTTTGACTTAAACTGAGTTTATCTGATGACTCAAGATCTCCAGGTTCCGTAAGTGGTTTTGTTTGAGTCGATATGAATGGAGAGAACAATGATGAGGTGCTGGGCTGATTCGAGCTGAACTGCAGAATTGAAGGCTTCAGGATCGGCTGTTGCTTTGATGTACCTGGCACAGGCTTCTCAAGAAGTTTACCTTACAAAACTAAAATAGTTTTTTTTCAAAAAAGTAATTTTAAGTAAAAATATCTTACTGATAACTGGGTTGATATTTTGCTGAGTTTAGGGGGCTGCGGCTGAGCAGAAGTGCCGAGTATCTGTGTGGATTTCCTCTTGTGTGACGAAGACTTAGCGGTCCCAGATGAATCTTGGGAATCAAGGCTTTGTAAACAATCCAAGAACCCTTCCTCATCATCTTTTAATATCGACATAAAAAAATCTTCTTTCTTCTTTTGAGGGTTTGAGACCTTATGCTTTTCAGGCACTACAAACTTTTTGGGTGTTTTTGATTTCTGCTGGGTCATCTAAAATTCATATATTTAAAATAAATTGATAAATAAAAAGGAAAATTTTAAGTTTCTTGTTGTCTGTTTGATCATTTCCTGTGTTTAGTGTTGGTTGATAGACCAAAGCAATGATAGACAGACGAGGATGATAAGTAACTAAAATTAAAAGTTTTATTGAATTGCAAATAAACATACCAATGAACTGTCCAAGGTGTTAATTTGCTGCAGTATTTCTTCTGAGAGGTCGTCACCCCATACATCGGTGGAATACCACGGATCGTTTTCCTGATTGTCAGAGTCTTCGCTTGGGATAGTGACTCTGCCCCAGGTGTTCTTCTTGGACTCATCCCTCGGATCGTCTGAGTAGAGAGACTTGACTTTAATACCTTGGCGCAACGCTTGGACTTCAGCGTCGTGGGCCAGTTGGAACTTCCAGGCCCATTCATTCTGGACGACCTTTGACTCGCCAGTCACCTCCCTTGCAGGCAGTCCGACGGTTTTGGCAGCTGACTCTGATACTGTGATCACCTTCTAAAAATATAAAATGCCACAATTCAACATTAATTCATTGTATAAAATTAAACTAATTAGGTAATAGTGATATTTTGCAAAGAACATGTCTCGCAAAATCAAAGATAAAGTTGATGGCTAAACTATTGGCAGGCCTGTATTTGTACATTCGAATTGGATTGTGACAATATTTAATTTTAAATATTGTCCTTAATTACTTTGAATATTTATAATTAATTTTGCAGATAAATTGTTAATGCAGAAAATGTTGGTTAACACTTGATCTTGCATTACCGTGTCATACTGATCCTTACCTGTCCCTACAGAAATCCAATGAACACCAGACAAATTGTCACTATCTACTATAATTAATGATTGGTTTGATATGCCCAAACTGAAACTCTGTTGAATAAAATACCACTAACGTTGTTAAATAATATATTGTTGCAAATAGCCATGATGTCATCCTCAAAAAGTTGAGGGAGTCTTTAGCCTTGAGGACAAAGGATCTGGGAAGGATTTCTTTCCTAGATGATGTTCTGCGAGCTTTGGTGAAAAAATCCCAGAACAACAGTTGGAAAACTTGCAGATAATCTTTCAGTTAGCAAATCGACCAACGATGACCACCTTAAGGCAATTGAAATGGTGAAAAAGCTTGAGAGTTGGGTTCCTCATGCAATAAACGATTGCCAAAAAATTATCGTTATTTAACTGTTTTTATTTTATGACCATAAACCTGCATTATTTTCCAGACAAATCAGTAATTATGGGCATGATGTATAATTTGTAAATTAATTTTTTTGTACTCAAGTGGAATCTTTTGGTGTGGATTGGGAAAAAGTTGTTCATTGCTGAATTAAGTTAAAAATGAACATAAATTTTAGTTAATTAATCTTTTTATGTAAGGTCTTAGTTGAAATGAAAAAGTTAGTGTCACGAGAAGGATGCGAACCCACGACCTTCGGCTCAATGTGCTGCTGCTCTAATTACTTGAGCTATCGTGACTGATCATCTCAACCTACAACTATTTGAATTTTCCCTCCTTTTTGCCATTTTTCAAATGTCATGTAATCAAGATTCGATTCTCGGTGACAAATGAAATAGCCACGGAGAGCTCTTAGTGAAGATATACTTTCTTGTTAGAACAGCGGCGTATTGAGCCGAAGGTCATGGGTTCGCATCCATCTCGTGACACTAACTTTTTCATCTCAACCAAGATCTTAGATAAAAAGACTAATTAATTGAAATAATTAACATGGTCAATTATGGCTGCTAAAATATACGGATTATTATTATTACCGTTTTACAGTACAGTTAGAGCAGCGGCATTTTGAGCCGAAAGTCGTTTGCTTGAATCCCACTCATGACGCTAATTTTTTCATTACAACCAAGACTTTACATAAAAAGATTAATTAACTGAAAGAAGTAATTTGATCATTTGGACCACTAAATATAATGGATTTAATAAATTTTAATAATTGCTGATAATAAGATGGGCAGAATGCTGTGGTATCAGACCTTTTTTTACTGTTGTGGATACCAGGAACTGGTGGAGTTTCCCCTGAATAATGCAGCTCTATACAGCTTATTGTACTCCTTCCTGGATCCATTTTTTTGGGAGCTCGCAACACGTGTGTTAATTGTGCCGCCCAGTGGTTCTTCCATCCAAGAAACTCATTTTCAAAGGGGGTCAGGTTCCAATTCAAGGTCGCTGAGATTCAACTATACCCCAGACCTTCCACTGATGAGTGTCGTGTCAATTTACATTGCCAGCATCCTTAAGTATCAGAAAATCTATAGGCGAGAGAATCAAACCTACGACTACAGGATCTACTACCTGAGAATCTGATGCCTTAATAATTAAGCTACCACAGTCCTGGTGTCTTGTATTGATCCTTAACTCTACAGCCATCCAATGTACACTGGACAAACTGTCACTAATATCAACAATGATCATTAATGATTGGCTTGGCTTATGCAACTGTAAGTTTATGTAGTTCGTAGGTACATGTATGATAAGACTCAAGACGGTTTTCCTTATAATGCTTAAACTTAATAAACAAATATACCTTCTTGGTTGTAGTTTGACTTGTGAAAAAGGCGGCCGGGTTGCTGAATTTGTCCTCCTCGACTGAAGCAGCCCTCTGTGAAGCTGCAACATCATCCCTAACTATTTCGGCAAGGAAGCTGTTCTCGACTCTTTCCGGGTTGACCAAGTGGGAATATTTGCTCTGCCGGCCCTCGCCCTTGTATACCGGCTTTTTCGACATTACGCTCGGCGTTATATAGCATTTATGTAGCTTTAATTGACTTTTCCCTTTCAAATGATCACTATCGTACTATCGTCCATTTAATAAACACGAATTAAGAGATGTCTCATCGATAAAGTCATCTATTTGAACCAGACATTCAACGCTAAACTCTGCAAAAATTATGTTTTATGAAATTTAAAATCAATCCTATTCATTAATTATGATTAAATTAATTATGATATGACATTATCATTCAAAACGTTTATATACAATAACCATACATTAGGGAAGGTTAAAAAAGGTTATCTCTTATCTACTATCAGTAAAATAGTTTTACGGATTTTTGATTGCCATTCGCTGAAGACATAAAAAATGTAATTTTTTACAATTTAATTACATTAATTAAGTTATCAAACTGTTTCATTAATTAGTTAACGATTGTATTTTTATCAAACAGATTGGATAATTTTATTTTACCTGCATCTTACATTTTTCTGTTTGCCCTGCCTTTTAAATTTAACAAGTAATATTCATTTATACTATTTTCAGCATAATAACAATTATCAATATTTAAATTAAGCTAAAAATGTCTATTTTAAGTTCATTTTAACTATTTTATACAAATTTTTCCTAAACCTTAAAAAAACATCCAGCTTGAGTATAAAATGCACCCAGATTGAGTCATGCATCAGGCCCAAAATCATCTATATTCTCTATGACAAAATAAATGTACATTTAATTATAATAAGTTAACAAGTGGTCTAAAATAAAGTTTAAAGTATGGTAGAAAACTTTCCGAAGTTGAAAATGATGTGGCTTATTACAGAGGTATATAATTTAACAATGTGGTCTTTTATTCAACAGATTTTAAATTTTGAGGTTATCCAATCAATTGATCATAGTTGATTGTAGTGACAATTTGGTGTGTTGAATTTCTGTAGGGACAGTTAAGGATCATTATGATGTTATCAGGAGATGGCTAGATGATGATGGTTGGTCAAAAGGCTGCAGGCTTGATAAATGCTCTCTGAAGATCTGCCCAGGTCTACTGGGGGGGGGGGGGTTTGAATGCAATGCCTTTGATATGCATTGCAACGTTAGTAAAATGTTTGTAGGCTATGAATAATCCAACTGTTAATTCTACTTATGGTAATAAAATAATTTTGGATTATTTCTTATGAAGCAGTGTGAACGCTCTCTGGTTACCTAACTAATGATATCTAACTAAATCTGCCAAACTTTATGACATCTTGAAATCACATAAACCCACTGAACACAGTTTTCTCATTAAAATTCTCTTTACTCAGATGAACCTAGGGGGATCCAAAAAGGCTTCCTGGGGCAAAGATACTATCCCAAGCAAGAACAAAGAGCAAAATGTTTTGTGGTACTCCACTGATGATGACCTCTCAGAGTATATGAAGAAATACTTCAACAAATTAACACTTTGGACTGTTGGTTCATTCATTTGCAAAATTTTAATTTTAGTTTCTGATCATCCTAGTTTGCCTATCCTCACTCACACCAACCACGAATGCCAACCATAAAATATAAAGGATTCATGAATAAATAAACAGATTTTTTCAAATTAATGAATGAATTTATTGTGGTAACTTCAATAGTTGTAAATTACATAAATTAAAAAATACCAAAGCCTCAATTTTTTTTACAATGTTATGTATAAATAATGGATTTCTACATTCTAATATTTATCACATATATATTTTGTATATTGTTGGATTGCTGTTTGTTGTTTTGTTCAAGAACAGAAAAGAAAGCATTTTAAAAGATTTGGAGATCAGGAAGATTCTATACATTGAGAAAGTAAAATATTTACTGAAAAAAAATGTTTAAAAATACATTCGTACCAAAATATATCAGATGAGCAAACATTAAAAAAATTTGCCAACAGGTAAAAAATATATATATTGAATTGTCACATTAAATTACTTTTATTACACACTATACAAACACTAAATTAAAAAAATATTATTCTAATGAAAGAAAATATCAATCACTGATTCAAAAAAGAACAGTTTAGGGTGAAGCTTTCTTAGACAATTTTGGTCTTTTTTTCTGGGTAACAAGAAGGCGTACATTAATTTACACAAGCAAAATGAAATATTATTTAAATCTATGTAAACATATGATGCATAGAATATAACATTGTCATAACATACTTTATGCTTTTGAAGTTTAATTATCCTAATGCTAATTGTTACCATGAATCATTTTCTTACTTTTTTATATGATTCACTGGGTTGATTTTGAGCTTTGCAGCTTGCTCTAATTGTTAAAAGAATTTATTAATTTTGTATTAACCGACTGACACTAAAATTCTATATATAACTTTATTTGTATCACAATAAGTTTATTTACAAAGAAAAAAATGTGTTAGGGATTAAGAAAAAAGTATGATAATAATTAAATCATGCTGAACCAGTGCTGGGGTCACTTATTGATAGGAACTGTTCTTCGCTGACGATGGCACAATGCTGAAACGTATTCAACAAACCATGAGTGAAGTGAGACCCAATAAGTGACCCAGTGCGGTTCAGTATGAGTTGACCGACTTGCAGACCTCACCCAGCATCAACTCTAATTATTATATATTCTAGGAAAAAGTGAAGAACAATGCAACATGCAGACTTTTAATTTTTTTATATTTGTATTTAAAAAAGTGAAGTTAAAAGTGTAAGAAAGCAATTTTAATATTATGCATCATATATTTAAATAATTTAAAACAAAATTTTTAGATGTATTAAATAATATACATGGTTTTGAAATTTTTGGTTTGTTTCTTTAATGTACAAACAATGGTTTTACTCATCTGCATTGTTTTATACCAATGTACAAAACATAAATGATATATTGTTTTTTACAACAATATATTATTTAGTTTCACTTTGGTAGTTGCAACTACCTGATGAGATAAAAAACTATACATAACACGATTAGGGTGTTTGTAGTTATGGTCTGAATCTTAATGCTACCCGAGTTTCCTGATTCTAAGCCTTGTTGGTTCGGTTCATCGATAGCGTTGTCGATCATGGCCGGTGGTTTGGAAGACGGTAACCAAATGTCTGAAGATGAGACTGTCCAGGTCATACCTCGGCCAAAGCTGGTACGAGTTGTCTCTGATGGCCTTCCTGTTTCTGATGTTGTAGTTCTACTTGCTTCCGATGTTCTGGTTGTTTCTGATGATCTACTTGTCTCTGAAGTCCTAGTAGGCTCTGACGTCCTGCTCGGCGGTGTCCAAGCTTCACTCATCTCCGATGTCGAGGAAGGGGTACCTAGACAAACATTTTATCATATATTTCACATTTAAATATGGTTCATTTTTGAACAGCATACTTCTTGAATCTGTCATAGCCCAGGTGGTAACAGTCACATCTTGATCAGCACCTCTTGAGCGACTTGTGGTCTTGTAGAGGTCTGTATTGGGGCAATCGAGCGGATTCAATCTAGAAAGAGAAAATAATTTAAATTGAGCTTAGCCAAATTATATTTTGGTACTTACATAACATTTGCACACTGATCTCTCAGGAAACCAAGTGCTTCATCAATTATGGACGTGGATAAGGAAACTGAGGCCGGGTCACACATGGACTTTGTCTGCTGTAGAACACATTCTCTAAAAATTTGGTTTGAACTGAAAAGAAATTCCATGATTTATTTTAAGATGGGACAATTGAAAGGCTAATGATTTAATATATACATATAAATATCGAATAAGTAGGAATTATTTGTTGAAAGATTTTTAGTCGTGTAGTTGATGCTCTTAAGGCCTTCCTTTTATTTGAAATTTCCGAATCAGAACTAATAAGCTTTAAAATTTTCCATGTGTTTTTTCATAGAACAAGTTATTGGTCTTCTAAATTTATTCTTTGTCTAGCTTGTCCTCTCAATGGCTCTCAGACAATTAGTAAATTAACTAATTTTTACTTTTAAATTTAGTTTTTAATTTTAATTTTGGGGTTTATTTATACTTTCCTATTTAGGAACAAATAGAGTTTGGACAAGCGATAGTTAATATTTTTTAATTAACAGTATTGTTTGTATAATTAATATATAAATTGTATCATGAGTCCTTAGAAGCAAAATTCTATTGAAAAAAAAAGAAAATTAAAAGGTGCAAATTGCATTGTTCTTCACTTTTTCTAGAATATTTAATAATTGTAGTTGATGCTGGGTGTTGGTCTGCGAGTCAGTAAACTCATGCTGCACCATCACTGGGTCAATTATTGGCCCCTCTTCTCTCATGGGTTTGTTGAATGCATTTCGGCAATGTGCCATCATCAGTGAGAAACAGTTCAAATCAACAAGTGACCCAGTGCTGGTTCAGTGTAATTTAATTATTGACATACTTTTCCTTAATACCTACACATACAATCCAATTCTAATAGCAAATACAGCACAAATTTTGGAGTAATAAAATAAATATAATTATTATTACCAGCAAAGACGTATAGTTGGTGCTTCATTTGAAACTTGGGCGACGAGCAGCTTGTATTGCTTACCGCAATAACTTTCCTGCGTTACTGTTTTCTTCATGCAGCTTGCATGCTTCAGATAATCTTAAAAAAAAAAAAAATGAAAAGTATTAATCCAAAATAGCAAGTCATTATGGTTTTGGATCAATCAGTACCAGTCCTATAATCCGGTGAGAAACACAGTTTGTGTATTGAGCTCATCGAGTTCTCAACAGCCTTGTGGAACTCTTGCCTTTTTGCTTCGGTGAAGCATCTATCCGTGTACTTCTTGAAACAGTCGATGAAGACATTCCATATTCTGGGGGGAAAAAAAGAAAAGGAAAGAGTGATCAGGCTGCTATCAAGCATACACAAATGTCATGTAAAGTAATTCCTAGCTTTCAGAAGGACTCAACTGAGTGTAAATAATTGTCATGACTAGAAAAATTGTAAATAAAAAGTTTAGGCAATGCACTTATAAAAGAATTGACTACATAGAAACCACCTAGATCCTCTGAAAATGGAGAAAAACCAAAATAACTTTTGAACTTCTGACAGAATCTTCTAAAGGATAGAGAGACAAAAATGATCGGAAAAGACCAAACCACAGATTCATCATCCTGTAAACTTTATGAAGAAATTTCATTAAAAAAAATCTGTTAGATTTTAAAACTATTCTTCTGTATAGCCATTTTTATCTGTGTAGGCGTTATTTCACGATTTTATTACAAATTCGTCTGGTAGAAGGAAAGAACATTAATTTCTTAATAAGAAAATGGTCAACCCATCCAACACATATAGTTTAAAGTCAACTAAATACGCAAGGACTTAATTTTGTGGTGAGACAGCATAAAATCGTCTGATTTATTCTTCTTTGTCCAATATTATGATCAAAAGTTGAGTAGTTGAAACTTATTTAAGGGGGTAGAGACCGTTATACGGACTACGGCTCTTTCATATTTTTTTTTTTAAATTTTTTTATTTATTTGTTTACTCCAATTCTACTCGATGAATTTTAATTTTTGCATGAATTACTTTTTCAGGAGGGTCTGTGCGTTCTATTTAAGCATCAAACAACAAAATGTTACAGTATTTCAGCAAATTTTCAAGGTAATTTAGTCTATTAATCCATATATATTTAGTAGTTATAATTGATCGTTTATTATTTCAATTAAATAATCGGCCGAAGGTCGTGGGTTCGAATCCCGCTCGTGACACTAACTTTTTCATCTCAACCAAGACCTTAGATAAAACGTAGTTCATTGGAGTAATTTAGTCTGTTTAAAGTGGCCAGAAGTTTACCATTTTTCGGTACCATTCTCTTAAAATTTAATTATATATTACAACTAACCTTTTCTTAGTGTGCTATGAATTCGTACCTAGGTTAAAAGAATAACGAGCGATTCGTTAATTTTTGAAACTTGAAGACGCGACAAAATTTTACACTATTTTTATTTAAAAAAAAGTTTCCGGGCGTTTTTTAAAAATATTGCTCGCTACGATTTTCGTCTATTTTTGATCTACAAAATGAAAAACAGAATCGTTTCAATATGATGAAACGTTTTTGAGAAAAGTGTACCGGAATGTGAAAAAATACATCTTTTCAGAAGAACCCATTTTCCGATCGAGCTAGAATTTCAATCGCCAAATTTACGATATAAACACCGATTGTTCTCACATTAAGGAAACGATGTTTTAGTGTAGAAGGTAGTTTCTGACACAGAATATACATAAAAAGCCTTCAGTTAGCGTCGGGGTTGGCGAGAAGCAAGTTCATTAAGGCAAAGTACATCAGAACACTTGATTTTCAACTTTCAAAAATTAAGTGAACTATGTTTAAAACTCGGAATTTTACGGAGCCAGTTTCATTCAGGGGGAAAAGTTATAGTTAAAAGAAAAATGCATTTTTTGGTTGAACTCCCCTCATAAAATATGCCTTGATTTTATGATCAACTGTTGAAACCGGACATTATGATTAAAAACGGAAAAGGCAACTAAAAACCGACAAAAGACCTTGAACAACCGTTTTTGAAGTTGTTTGAATACATTTTTTTAGTTTTTCTTTAAAATTAATTTATTTGTACCATATACATATTACAAATGTGATTTAAAACTTTTTTCACACGATCACCGTACTATCACTAATGTCATAGAAAGGATACATGCCATTCACCAGTCAATGTTGGCACTCAGTGTGAGGGATTAGGGGGAAGGAGGATTAAGGAACTGGTGGGTTTCGGGATAGGAATGTGTAGAGAGAGGTCGAGCAGTACGGAGGATGGATCGAGAGGTTGACGAAAGGAATGTTGAGGTCGTTGTGGATAGTGAGGTTAGTGACGTATCAAGCAGCTTTGACAATTGGAGGACTTTTCATTGGAAGGATTGGATGCGATGGATGTTGGATGGCTTGGCAGAACCCCATAGTTCCGTATGTCCAAAGTAGTTGCAGTAAATTCTTATAGAAGGATAGTTTAGTTTTGACGGTCAAGACACATTTCGTCCGAGAAAGCTTCTTAGTTGCCCAAGACTTCTGTTAAGTTGTTGTCTCGTAAGACTTGTGCGGGGATTCCACGACATTCCATAATTTTAGTTTTAGACCTAAGTATTTGACTTGAATGGAATCTCTTTGTTGTTGATAAACAGTGGAGGGCAAGTTGTTTTTTCAATGCGAACATACACTGAACCTTGATTCAGTCTTATCCTCCACTTTTTGCACCAGCTTAAGATTTTCTTGGGTATTGGAGGTAGCTTGGAAAGGATTCGAGTTAGAGGACAAAATAGCCGTATTTTCCGCGTAGATAGTGATGATGATATTAGGGTGTATAGGTAGGTCAGCAGTATAAATAATATAAAGAATGGGACTAAGAATCCTTCCTTGTGGAGTCTCGCCTTTTATCAGTCAGGCTTCCGAGAACTCGTTGAGAACTCCAACATTGTTCAGTTAGAAAGGATAAGATAATAAGGAGTGGTAAAGTTTATAAAACCCGCCCGGGAAGATTTGACTTTGTAAATAATAGATTAATGCTACTGAGAGTGATTTAATGGTAGAAAACAATCTTCTAATAAAGCAGCGTGCATCCTGGCATTCCAGTAGAGCCTAAAATAAGAGAAATTGTCGAAAAATACAACAGAATGATAAGATTTCTCTTGGTATCGGCCACATCCATCCGACACAAGGAAATCAAAAGGAAATAAAGTCGAAGAATGTGATTGCTAGATATTCACCGAAGTAAGAAAAATCGGGTTCTGCATTTGTGGTGGACAAAGATGGAATATGGGAGAAGTTTTCAAAACTGACAGTGCCGTGCTCATACAATCAGGCCTAATTATCAGCCTTAAAAATTGAAATAAGCTTAAATCGACAACTGAGAGAGTAGTGAAACTTTAGGAAGTAGCAAGAACATACCACGAAAATTTCGGGCCCATAGAGGTGCTGGGATTTTTTTAAGGAAAAAGGAAATCATGACTTTCTCACAATTGACGCGAAAAAGACAACGTAGAAAGCTAATCTTAAATGAGATAATTATATCAGATAATTTTATCCTTTGTTTGCGTCTAGTGTTCTTATTGTGAGGAAAGATCTGTCTGGTTGTTCTGAAATCTCCATTCCGTAATAATTGGTCACCAAATTTAGTTTCTAACTGGAAAAAGTTAGATGTATAAATTATAAAATTAACTGTTGCATTTCATAAATGATATTCTAGTCTCGACTGGCCGGCTGACGAAATTGAACGTTTCCGCCCGAAGGAAGTGAACCGGAAACATCCTTGACTCTTAGCATAATTCGTGAATTATTGACCGACAGACAATCAGACGTGTTTGTTTTTCTTTTCTTTGCGTTTTCCTCACCTGCAGACCTGTTCGATATCCTTCGGGTTGTCTGGGTAAATGAGTCTGACGTCGTTCAGTAGCGGGTCCGCCAACCTGACGCAGTAGTTGTAGTCGTCTTGACTGCATTGGCTCTTCACTGGAAACGATGTCCACAGTTAAATGCACTGCTATAAATAAATTATTTAAAAAAAAATAAAATAAAGAATTAAAGGAACCTTCAGCGGCGTACAGCAACGTAACGAGTGAACCCCAGACAAGGAACACTTCACTTTTCATTTTCTGAAAAAACCAACATGATTGTTCAAAAATTAAATTTTCTACCAACGTATGACAGTTTTATTATTATTTAAACAATATCGACTTCCTTTTGGTCAAGCAGGCAAAGCTTTGTGAATGAATGTGAATACGTGATGCACTTGCGATACTTATATAGAAAGACATGTTGGCAAGTCTGGATAGCATTACACTTAAACGTAAATATTTAATTGTTTTAATAAATACTAATCGATAAATACGATAATAAAAACGAGATTGTTGAAACGGATCAAGGTTCTTGTGAATCCAGCGGTGGATCTGAAGGAGGCCATCTGAAAAAAAAGAGTCAATCCAGTCAACCTGACTCGACGTTTTCCCGATATTGTAAATCGTTACGAAACGGTAGTCGAACCGCACGAACAAGACAGAATGGGATGAATATTTAATCGGATCGGCCTGTCGGGAAAAAAGAACCCCTCTTTGAAGTTTTACTGGGTGAAGGCTGTGAACTTTGGATTGAGAAGAAAAGTGTAGTTTCCCGTCCAGACGCAAGGATGACCGTCCAAATCCATTATAAAACACAAGATATTTTTACATTATTCGCTATACCATCAAAAAAATCACCAAGAAATATACCAATAATCATATCTTACATAAGTTGTTGAGTTCCATACGGCAAATTGGAAAATCGATTCTGGTTAGCCTTTAGCCTGAAATTTATCGGTTTCAGCTTAAACCGTACAATTTATAAATAGATCTCAGATTTAAGAATAGGGTGCCATGCCTACTCGCTACCTGTAAAGAGACAAGGACTTACACCATGGTGCGGAATACGAACCAACCATACGACCTTTTCGGTGTCTGCCTATGACTTACTTTTCACCAATTGTCCTAACTAATTTGACGTTTCCGCCTTCCAAACAACAGTCAAGGAACATGCAATACCCTTCCTTTAGTTTAAGCAGGGACTCAGCTGAAATCGGTCTTTTCCGCTGGGTTCTTATCACAATCTACAGGGTCCTTAACTGCTTACATTCGACATGCTTACTCGCTCTTTGTATAGAGCCAAGGATTTAAGTCATGGATGCGGACCTATCAACGACCTCTGACCTATTGTTGAAGTCCTATGACTTATTAACCTATCTACCAAGCGCCATCACAATTTCGGCAATCCTTCCAAACATCAGCCAAGGAACGCACAGCACCCCTTAATTTAATCAGAGGCTCAGGCTGAAATTAAACTCTTACTAAATCATTTGTATATTTTGTTATGAGAAAAAGTGGTGCTATTTTTGTTCTGTTACGTTCTGCTTGTATTATAACCTCCGTTCATATAAGACGGTGTATACAGAATTATCGATCTTTTGATCAAATCAATAAATCCTTCATTTCAATTCATTAATGTTGAATCATAAATAAAAAAGTCATAATAGGTAAGCCCAAAACGAGATCAGTTCGATAGTGGTTTAAGGTTGTTGACAAACACCTAGGTCATCATCGGCACTTTGGGTGTTAAAAATCATCTAGTTTCATTCATTCAAACGAACGTGATTCGTTCCTAAGCAAATTTGGTTTATAAAATAGGCCACATTCATGAAGGGCTTTAATGGCTTTAATATTTAATAAATGGGAAAACAGAATCCTCGGGCCACATTGTGCAGTACCAATTTGTCTGTCGTTCGAGGAGTCCGGAGGTATCAATTCGTCTGGCCAATTTTTGTACCAATGTTTTTCCACTGCATGTAATAAGGCTTAGATTATAAATAGAATATAATAATGTTTATTAATAGAAACATTGCAACAGGAAGCGAGGACATACCTTATGGTCAAGGCTTGACTGACTTACTGTTAGTAAGTAGGCATGAACATTTTTTACAGTTTCTTCTGTAAATGTATGAAAAATTAGTTTTCAAGTTTGTTTTTGAAAAAAAAAAAGTGATTTTTCATGGGTAGCGGAATTGACTTTCTTCAGAAAGGAAGTTCTAAGTGGAAGATTTCTTGTTTTCTTTCGTTTATAATTAATTTTTTTAGCTAGGGACCTCTTGGCCAATTGAGTGAAGCGGGCAAAAGAAAGGGCTATTGGATTAAACGACGCTAATTAGATTTGGGGAATCGTAAAACCAGCGGAACCGTTGGAAAAAAATTGTTACGCGAATGAGCTGTCGCCACCTCTGGGCGTGTTTTTGTTCCAACCAGGAAAAAAGGAACACTCATTCCCGGGAGGGAGTTTCACAGGTTTTCCTTTCAAAATTCCGGTTTTATGTAGCTGATTGTGGAAATTGTAGTACAATAGAAATTACGTGACAGTCTTGTCAATGGACCAGTATTGGCGCATAGGAATACAGAAAGTCAATACACTGATAGGCAAAAAATTCCGCCCACTCGTAATACAACTTGATTTGTATAGATTTTTATATATTAATCAAAGTTTCACGTTTTTTAAACATTTTAAATTTTTAATTAACATTTCGTCAAACATTGCGTATTTCCTCCTCTTGCCTTAATTACATCTCGAAGAAGCCTAGGTATAGTTTCTACCAGTCTCGAAATGTTAGCCAGCCTTTTTTGAGGTTAGCCCATTTTTCACGAATAGATCTTTCAAGATCGTGGAGTGAATCAGGGAGTGATGGATGTGCTATTATTCGTCTTTTGAGGTTATCCCATAATGTTCGGTGAGGTTCAATTCTGGAGAACATGCTGGCCAGGCTAAGACCCTGATGTTATCTCGTTGACGGTACGTTTGCACTATGCGAGCGACATGTGGATGGGCATTATCGTGCATTCGATTAGGATTGTCGCAGATTTCATCGAGGATAGGCAACGCATGTTGGTCCAAAATTTCATCCACATACGATTGGCCGTCAAAGACCCTCCACGAACAACAGCCAACTCTGTGCGACTCTACGTTGAAATTCCCGCCCGCATCATCACTGAGCTACGTTGAAAAGAAAGGTTGGCTCTGGGCAAAATAACAGGCTTCATACCTTTCATTTCGCGATCTTCCAAAGACCAATGGCTGTTCTCGAGCAAATGGGAGCCGTGCAACTCTGTGCTCTGGTCATTTGGGGTCATCTTATGTGACATCGGTCCATACAGATTTAATCTTCTTCGAGCAGTGCGTTCAAAAATTTCGACACCTCGAACGTTCTGGAGCGGTCATCCTGTGGTTCTGTAACCCTAGGGCGTCCATAACCGGGCCTTCTACGGTAGAACCCAGTTTCTCGAAAACGTATAATGGTGTCTCACAGTGTTTCGTAGAGAACTCCGATGGCAATAGCCGCATACGTGATGGAACGTCCATCATCACTAAGCGCCACACCACACACAACATCCCAGCACTAAGTGGCATTTTTAAGTTTAAAAATTAAAATTAAGCAAGCAAAGATGAAAACTAAACATTTTATTGCTTCAGAATCCAAATGAGACTGAAGAAACATTTTAAATTCCGTAAAAAGTAAACATTGAAAAATCCTTTATCCTTGTTTTGGATAAAGGATTAAGTGTGTTTACCTCTTATTGATATTCCCAATTTAAAACATCGCATAAACAAATATTTATTGATAATAACAATGAGACAATTTAAGGGCAGAATTTTCGTTTATCGAGAAAACGAAAAAAATTAATTTGGTGGAATTTGTTGCCTGTCATTGTATGAGCACGTCAAAATTTGATCAAAAAATAATAAATAGATAAATAGTTTATCACTCTGACTCTATCCAGTAGAGACAGCTTTCTTTACGAAGAAGAAAAATTGCGTAAAATCGAGTCGGTTCATAAATGTCCTCGTTTGAAAAGTGGAAAATTGGTGAAAGCCGTCTGGGCTCATTAGGGTTCATTGTGTTGTAATTAATCGTATCGAGGCTTAATTGCAATGTGACAGACTGGTCTTTGCCCAACCCGGTGTACAACGGTTCATTTAAGAAGAAAAGGAAAACTAATGCGGCCACGGTGTAGCATGGCCGTTCTCCTACTAATGCACGGGCCGAGACAATAACCCCCTAGGAACATAAAAGTTTCATAATTGCTGGACGACGGTTTTCCGATTTGATGAATCTGAAAACGACGTTGTTTTGGTTTTTACTTTTTGTTAAACTGGAAATGACATAAAAAATTGTACCTTGGTCGTTTCTGGTGTCTTTGTCGGATTCGGTCTGAGTGTTTTGTTACGACTTATAACACTGAAGGCGAAGAGAATTCCAACCGCATCTGCCATATCAAAACAGCGATGACGAGTTGACTACAATAATTGCAAACAGGAGCAGAGGATATATCAAAATTAAAACAAATCTATAATACTCTTCCGGTTTGAACGTAAAATTTGTAGTAAGATTTTCGCGACATCTGGGATATAAACGGGCAAACTCTAAACTTTGCATTTTTCAAAACTTGCTTGTAAGAAACTCCCTTCCTTTCTTTATGTTGAATGAATAAGGTTTTATTTGTATTTGTGTAGACAAAAAGGATAAAAAATGTGGTAAGAAGAAACTAAAACTAGATCAGATGAAAAGCGAGAAAAAAGAGATATAGGGATAACGAACGAGAAAAGTTGTGATGAGTGGGGCATACGATCAAACAGTAAAGTGCGAGAAGGAGATAAAAATAAAACAATCAGACAGCAGGGAACCAGGGAGACAGGCAGACAAACAAACCGAAAGGAAAGATAGAGAATTAGATAAAGAGAGAGAGAGAGAAATAACGGGATAGGATAAAAATATTGAAGCGTCAAATAAACAGAAAGAGAAAGAATGAAAGTGATCTGATGATAAGATAAAAAGGGAGGGATTAAAGAAAGAATGAGAAAGAAAGATAATATTATCTACCGATTTATGTCTCTATCAAAAGTTAAATATATAAAAGACAGATTGATAGATAGATAGGTAGATGGATGATAAATATATATAAATAAAATGGAGAAAATTAGATAAAGAGAGAGAAAGGACAAGATAAGTTGATAAGCGTTAAACAGACATAAAAGAGAGTGTGAGAGAGAGGGAGAGGGAATGAGAGAGAGAAAGTGATATATA